CTTAGCTCCTGTTGGGCCATTTCCAACGATAGCCTTGGTAGTTTTCCCCATAGGAGAAGCAGACGTAGTTGCAGATAGTTTCTCGGTGATAATAGAAGCTGCACTTAAACGAGCTGATCGTCTTGTAGACATTTTGTATTGTTTTGGTGATTGCCGAGAAAAGTGTTTAATTGACGAATTGATGAATCTGAATGACAGAACTCTGTGAGTCTGTGTAGCCTAATTACTGAATCGTAAGCAAGATATTTCCACTATCTCAAGGTATTAGTGATTTGATCAATACTTCAGAGTGACAGATACCTGCATGCTCATTCACATATTTGATCTCAAACAAACAGATGATTATCTCGACTTCAGATGATAACTCCAAGTCTACTACGTATAAGCTCAAGTACCATACCTATGTTTCAAATTCATTGGAAAATAGTCAATTCACGTGATGACTCCTTTTTTGGCCAGGTAATCCGATCCAGATAGAGGCGAACTCGCGAGTCCGGACATTGATTGACATACAGGAGGGAAAAATTGGCATGGGCATTGGCAAACGCAACACAAGCAATATACCTTGATAAGAGTACGAATCAGACGGTAGTGTATGTAAAAAAATCATTCCAGCATTAATCGATAGATAGTGGTGTGGGTGGCAGTGAATAACACAACACTTTCAACAGCTCAAACGTATACAAGTGAATATATTGTATGTATATCTCAAGTATAAAAGAAAATACTTAATATATACTTCTTCTCTCCATCTTCCCAACTTCTCCTTCTGTGTGGAGTTCCCCTCAAAATTCAATAAATATTACAAGGTCTAGTTCCTCTCTTTTCATTCGCTTATACACTCTTGGCATAATTTCTAAATTCGTGTAGGAACATCGAGGCCACTCTGAACGGATCTCCCTGCCACTCGCGACCTCCTCAACTTCTTCAGATCTACCAAATCTCCCTGATTTTAGTGTCAAAGAGCTTGCAATTTCACCATCGTTTGCAACACAATTTCGGGGCGCTTTTACTTCTACGTCTGCAGTCTCGAATTGATATAATCTACTTTTGTTACTGGTGGTTTTGAAGCCACAGGGGTTTCGCCATGTTGGGTCCAAAGGGTGGCATGAATTGGAAGGCTACAAAAGCACAATTACCGCCTGCGAGAGCGATATGGGTATTTCTTACAAGGACGCGATTTTTACTATGTGTAGCATTAGCTGGCGTCGTTGTATTATTATGGAGAGGAATTAGTACTTCAGCACAAGAGATGCAAAGGTAAGCAAGCACATCACTTATGGCTTATCAGTGAATACCAGAGAAGACGAACAACGCTGATTTGGTACTGTGTTTAAAGATATTATTGTTGGGGACCTTCGAAACCACCGATGCAGATGACATTGAATGAACAGGCCGACTGGAACGCGCATTTACAAACACCAGTTATCTTTAATCATCATGAGCCAGTTGTTGTCAATTCTACCACGATTAAAAGTGTCGACCTCAACCCTATCCGATCTACTACAAAAGCAATTGCGAACAAGGAACGAATTTTGATCTTGACCCCTCTCCGAGATGCCGCGTCATATTTGCCAAAATACTTTGATTTACTCTCACTCTTGTCATACCCACACGATTTGATTGATCTTGCTTTCTTGGTTGGCGATTCATCTGATGACACTCTTGCTGTCCTTGCTGCAGAACTCGACAGAATTCAGGACGGAAAGGAAACTGAGGCATTCAACAGTGCTTTGATTGTTCAAAAGGACTTTGGTGCGGTTTCGGGCCAGACCGTTGAGGAACGTCATGCATATGCAGCTCAGGCACCCCGAAGAAAGATCATGGCTCGTGCCAGAAACTATCTCTTATCTGCGGCATTGAAACCAGAACATTCATGGGTCTACTGGAGAGATGCAGACATCGTTGATAGTCCTGAGAAGATCATTGAGGATTTCATTGCTCACGATAGAGATATCATTGTTCCAAGTATGAATACTTCTCTTTTGTAGGATTCGTTACATTTACTGACTTTTGCAGATGTCTGGTTCCATCGATACCGTGATGGGGTTGATATTGAGGGTCGATGTAAGTCTAGACCACACTCGGAAGTCTGCGATGGATGCTAATCGTCTCTAGTTGATTACAACTCATGGATCGAGTCGGATAAAGCACTTAAGCTTGCCTCAAAACTTGACAAAGACACAGTTATCGTCGAAGGTATGTATTAATTTCAATTTTTTTTGTGTCACTATATTAACAATACTCAGGTTATAAAGAATTCGATACTGGTCGCACTTACATGGCTTTGATGGGTAATTGGAGAGAAACCAAGGATGAGGAAGTTAAGCTTGATGGTATTGGTGGAGTCAACATTATTGTCAAGGCAGATGTTCACAGATCAGGTAATTGTGCCAGGTAATTTTGAAGAGAGCAAATCATTGACCAATGTATAGGAATTAACTTCCCCGCCTACGCATTCGAAAATCAAGCCGAGACTGAAGGGTTCGCAAAAATGGCCAAGAGAGCAGGGTATGAAGTTATTGGATTGCCCAACTATGTCGTCTGGCACATGGACACGGAGGAGAAGCCCGGTAACAACATTTGAGATGCCACTGTATTAAGAAATTCGTTCGGACACGTCTTGATGCATATACGGTGTGTTTTTTTAGTCAGAAAGAGAAGATTTTGTATGATTGGATTCGGAAAAGGAATCAACATTCAAAAAGGAGGGGAAAAATGATTCCCCCCAACCTCTTTTCGAAGGGGGTTTTTTTAACTTCGAGATTCTTGTACCGAACTTTTTTCATTTTTCATTCTAGGGGGTCCGGGAGTTTGATCATTTTTTTACGAATGAAGATAAGGGCTTGGGCTTGTTAGCAAGCATGGTTGCAAGGACAGCATACCACTGTAATAGAAATGTCCCAATTGCGATTTGTTTATGAATGGTCTTAGTTCTTCTGTGGTGCACTGGATGAAAAATGGAGGATGATGAATAGGAAGGTGGGATTTAACGAGAATGCGAACGAGAGTGCGAATGTGGTTAAGAGGGAGTAGAGGTTGTGAGATTTGTAAATGTTTCTATGTGTATGGATATTGAGGTATCTATGAATAATGGATGGGTGGGTGGATATGGGTGCGAATAGTTAGTTGGGTGATCCTGAGAGGATATCAAAAGGCTTGGGAAAGGAAGGAAAGGAAGGAAAGGAAAGGAGAGGAGAGGAGAGGAGAGTAGAGAGTGGAATAGATAGAATAGCTTACTGGGTAGATACACTGGTTTGCGAATGAGAGGAGGCTTGTGTTATTTGGATGTGCGTTTTCTTCTTGTGATGCTTATTTGTGATACTATTTTGTCTTATTGTATCGCCACGACTGGCTCCAGACCCCAGTTCAGCCAGATATCTATCTAGACAGCGAAGTTGTCAAGTTGCACGATATCTCATCTTCTTTCTTCACACAACCATCATGTAGAGTAGAGTGACTTTTTGTTTTTCGAATTGATGATCATCGTTATAAAGTACAGAGCATCACATCTCATCTCGGTGCTTTTCATTCCCCATCCTCTAAAATTCTCGCCTCATCTCATTCCTTCACTTCACTTGACTTTCCCGCCTTCCCAAATATACATATCCAGCGTCGCCTCATCTGCATCCCCTGCTTTTCTCCTCTCTAGTTCTTCTTGGTAATAGTCAATGATTCCAAATCAGCACGTTCCTTGGCCTCGGCTTGGATCTCGGCAATGATGGGGGAGAGGTATGCGTAATCCTGTGAAATTTATGGGTTAGAACGAGCGTGGAAATATGCTGGAAGGAATGAATGAATAAATGAGACTCACGTCTTCGGGCTTGGTGTGTTGATCCTTGGGCAAAAGTTGATGTTGGACGGAACACTGTAGGATTGTCAGTCGTGCGTCTAATTTTTGTTTACTCAATTGATTCGAGCAAGCAATGGCGTGCGTACCTGAACAGCTCTTCGCAGACGGAAAACACGATCATAAGCTTCCTTTTGCGGTAAACGCTTGAGCGCAAGAAGAACCTCTTCGGATTCCTCGGGGAGTAAGTCATCGGCTCTGTAATTTCGTGACATGTTAGTTTCTCTTCTCTGCTTTACATATCCCAATTCACATGCATTTATGTTCCTGTATTGCATATTTGAGGTGCAATCAAAAATATCGCATACCTTAATCCCAACTGACGGTATCCAGCAGCGTTGGTGTACCATGAGGCCAAAGGCTTCATCATCTTCAAGAGCCCGGGCTTCTTGGAAATCCAGCTTGCTAACGATGGTGCAGACATGATGGGTGGATTTGGAGGGGTGGTATTGGGGAGAGAGGGGAATTCGTCGATTCTGGTGGTGTATATTGAGAGTGAAGTTCAAAAGTTATGAGTGTATTAGGTAAGCGAGTCAGCGTTGTTTGAGGGGTCTGTGATTGGTTGGGAGGAATGAGGGACGGAACGGAATAAAATGGGTGGGGGAAGATATCGGCAGGATTAATGTTCACAATGAGATGAGTTTTGTATGGAGAGAAAGGCGAGTAGAGGTGGAGATGGATGTGGATGTGGGATGAGACGATTTTCTTTGTTTGAGATGAAGGTTTGATTGAGAGGTGTATGTAATGGTTTCTTTCCTCAATTCGGGTTTGAAGATGTGCTGTTTAATAGATCATGTCATGGTATATATGGAGTAGAATGTTCATGATGATCACAATACTGGGAGAACTACTCGTCTAATTGAGGCTTTCCACATTGATTAGCTACTCGAGTAGAATTAGAACGTTGTATCAATGCATCAATCACCACTGGAGCTTATTAGATGATGGTTAACATGATAGTTAATATAAGATGCTAGTAGAGATGCTGCTGTGCCATTGAATACCGCTTAATGGTAGGATAGGATATGAGTAGGTGCAGACAAAACATCTAGATACCAGGTGTAGCGACACCTAGTAAACCAATTATACTCAAGTTCCAACTGTTCATACATAACATACTACTGGTAGGAGGTAGGTATATCATATCATTCCTATCATCCATCCATCCATCGCTCACCACCTACCTAGGCCTTTTAAAATCAAGCTTTCCCTGTCTCGAACCAAACGGGTTGATTTCCCCCACTTTGTTGAATTAGAATTATGATATTCTACTCGTAGTTCTATTTCTTGTGTACCTACTTGCCTACATTTCTCACACAACCTTCTTTCTTCTTTTGATATCTAGAACATCGAAACGACATCCTTATAATCATAAATATCATCAAATCAGATTCAATCACAAGCTCATCCATAAGATTTCATCCTCCGTTTTGAATTGTACCTGCTTCTTACTTTGGCTTGGCGGTTCGACCCTTTTTCTCAAGCGATTGATTGAATAATCTATTTTATAAGCTTTCCGAGAATTTTGAGCCGGTCTTGAAGTCCGGTGTTTCCCTCAACCACAAAATCCTCAACCCACTTTCCTCAAAGAACCCCCAAAAGCCCACCTTTCCAACTTTTCAAGGCTCGCACAATCCACGAAACTTCTACAAACATTCAGGCGATTGTCAATGGCCTGCGATAACCGTTAGCTGTTGTGTCACTGGCGTGCTGCGTGGGATCTTTCCCCGCACACCGGGACACGAGATTGCAAGAAAAGAACGGCGACAACAAGTGAAGGCCTTCCAAACCCATCGGCGGCTTTCGTCTCGGCGAGATTCACTTCTGCCTGCCTCTGGCTGAAGTAGCAGAAGCTATTAGATATTTGCGCCAACAACAATTACAATGTCACATGAACGCAGCACGCCATCATCATCGGGATCCGAGGATTTTGCGTCCTCTCAACCTACCACCCAACAATTCACATCGAGTTTAACGTTTGGAGGAGGAGATTCACCTATCACTAGATTGGAGAGAGTAGCTAGAACAAGGGCGGAATGGGAATTCAATGCATTTGCGGGGGCGGTCGGTGGTTTTACTTCTGGAGTTGTCACTTGTCCACTAGATGTTATTAAGACGAAACTACAAGCACAAGGGGGGTTCAGAGCCGCACAAGGACTAGGGTCACTACCTGCGGGACAAGCGGTATATAATGGTTTACTTGGAACTGGAAGGGTGATATGGCGGGAAGAGGGGCTGAAAGGATTGTATCGAGGCCTTGGTCCAATTATCCTTGGTTATCTACCTACATGGGCAGTTTGGTTTACGGTCTATGGTAGATCAAAACAGTTCTTTGCACCTCACACCGGTATGAATTAAGAGTAAATCTTAAGTATGACGATGGAAGCTAAATAAATCTCTACAGATAATACAGTAGTGGTCAATTTTTGGTCCTCAATAATCGCTGGAGCTTCATCGACAATGGTTACCAATCCTATCTGGGTTATAAAGACACGTCTGATGTCACAAGTTAGCCGCAAGGCAAAGAATAACGGAGCCAGACCACCTTGGCATTATCGGTCAACTTTAGATGCAGCAAAAGTGATGTACAGGACTGAAGGAATCCTATCCTTTTATTCTGGTCTGACTCCTGCACTACTTGGTTTGACACACGTGGCTGTCCAGTTTCCAGCTTATGAATATCTCAAGAAGAAGTTCACAGGCAAGGGGATGGGAGAGTCAGCAGAAGGTGATGAAAGTGCTCATCTATTTGGAGTGTTATCTGCAAGTGTGCTCAGTAAGGTCATAGCAAGCTCTACCACCTATCCTCACGAAGTCATTCGGACAAGACTTCAAACTCAACAGAGATCCATGCCAGCTGCTTCAACAGAATATGGCGCATTTAGGGGAGGTCTAGAAGGACACTCCCATCAACACGGGGCTTCCAACCCCCTTGCTCAAATCAAACAAGCGGTCCCGAAATATAGGGGAATTGTAATGACATTTAAAACGATATTACGCGAAGAAGGATGGAGGGCATTTTATGCAGGTATGGGCACGAATATGATGAGAGCGGTACCTGCGGCCACAACTACCATGCTCACCTATGAGTATGTTATGAAACATTTAAATCATGCCAAGGCAGAAGGATTACGAAAATCGGGAGAAGATTGGTAAATGTTTCACATATTTGACTATCCTTCTCGGCAAGATGTATAAACTTCAAAAAAATATGGCACACACCTCCAAGGTTCGAGGTAATGAAGAAACCAAGAAACATTTTTGCATTTTAAAGCATTTGAAGTTTGCGGACGTTCGGTCATGTACTCAGCCATTAGGTATTGAGTTAGCATGATGCGGCCTTTGTGTTTATGGAAGATATTACAGACGTTCATATCTGAATGATACCTTTTTGTGAACAGGGGAATTGTACTTATAGATGGTATTAGCCATCATGGCAAATGATTGTTTGATGTTCCACCTTGACTTGGATGTGCAGTTTTGTAAAGATCTCCCCAACTCCCACGTGTAACCTAGAAATACAAACTGTTGAAGTAGCTGTGCACTTCAATAAACCCAAACACCGTTCCCATCTCCATTGTTATTTTCATTCAACATTACTCTGCTTTCCCAGCAAAACCACCTTCTCTTCCTTTCGCCGCTCGCTCTCTCAGCTTCCTCTCCACGTCATGCCTCTCGGGCGCATTTCCTTTCCTCCTCAGCTCCTCCAAATTATCTTTTGCCGTTCCCAGTAATTGTTTCACGGTCGTTTGCTCCACAGGCGCATCTAATTGTCCATGACGCCTTAAACTTTCATTGGCCCAATCGATCTGTCCACCGTCTGCTTCGCGATGTTTTTGAGCATTCTGCTTGGCTGCCCGGATGGATGTGCGGGTGTATGTGAATAGGAGTAGTGCCATGGTTGCGGCTGCTAGAGGAGCAGTCAAGGTCTAGAAGGAGGGGTTGTTAGTGGGAGCTGGGAAGGAGCTGGGAGGGATGGAGGGGAATGAATGGGTGGATAAAGGGAATTGGGATAACATGATTGATACCTTGCCATTTAAATTGAATTTGCGAGGAGCCATGGTGAAATGATTCTTGTAAATTGATTAGAAGAATTTGAGTAACTTCACATTTCTCTTCTTGTTTGCTTGTACGATAGTTGTATTAGATATCTAGTCCGTGGATGAACTCAAATAATCGAACGGTTTTTTTGAACATGGGAAAATAAATAGAGGACGTCATGCGATCTTCGGGGTTCGATCGACAGGGATCATTAAATAAGGGACTTTACCACTTTTTTTCCATTCAGATAGATAAGTCCTCAACACTTTTGCATTGAGCACCTATTTATGAATCTTTTGCTTGTAATGGAATTTTATGAATTGATGGATCGTGTTCGATAATTTCTCAAGGAGAGTTTTGTGTGGGTTTCGCATGGGAATTTGTTCTACGTGTACGATACGCAAGGTTGAATGAGATGAAGGGACTTAATTTCGCATCGGCATCGGCGTGGGCGAGGGCGAGACCGTGGACTTGTGGGAGATGTGTACAGAGAGGGACTAGGAAATCTTGGGTGCAGAATGCGACTTATTCGACGGGGAAGAGAGGAGGAAGTGGATATGGATATGGACATGGAAATGGATATCAGCATAATGGAAGGGGAAATAAAGTTATCATGGCTTCTGCCGCGGGGGGCGTAGCGGCAACTGGACTTGCTTTCACGGATGATATAAGGCATGCGTATGAAGCGGTGGAGAGGACAGGGAGAGTGGTCAGTACGCTGTTTGTTTGTATCAATGAGTGAGTGATTTTCTAGCATTGTGTCGGATCGTTTGGGACAAGTGGCTAATTCGAGGTGCGACAGTTATCGAGTTACATTGAACCACAATGAGAAGATTGAAGATCAGGCAGAACAGGATAGAAGATTGAAAGATTGTCACCAGAGATGTGCGGACCGGACATTGAGAGTCTTGGAGAAGAATGGGAGTATATTTATAAAACTCGGGCAACATTTGGTATGGAATTTAGTTACACCTAGATGCATGATGCATCGGCTAATTGGTTTTCGCAGAGTGCTATGAATTATCTTCTACCGTTAGAATGGACGACCACATTTATACCCTTGCAGGATAAATGTCCTGTTTCATCGTTGGAGTCGATAGAGAATATGTTTATGATGGATACCGGCGAACAACTTTCAGATTACTTTTCGGAATTTGCACCTCTACCGATAGGGGCAGCATCTTTAGCTCAGGTACATCTAGCTACTGTCAAGGAAACGGGACAAAAGGTTGCGGTGAAGGTTCAACATCCAAACTTGGCGGAATGGGCGGCTCTTGATCTGGCATTAACTAGCTTCACATTCGCGACGTTGAAGAGATTCTTCCCAGAGTATGATCTAGAATGGTTATCATCGGAAATGGAGATTTCATTGCCAATCGAACTGGACTTTACTGAAGAGGGAAAGAATGCTTTGCGGACAAAAGATTACTTCTCACGGATACCGGAACTACCATTGATTATACCTGATGTTTTATGGGCAAAGAAACGCATATTAGTTATGGAGAATGTTGCAGGACACCGATTGGATGATCTCGAATTTCTTGATTCTAACGGTATCGATCGCGACGAAGTATCCGCTGCCCTCGCTCGTATCTTCAACGAAATGATCTTTGGCAATAATGCTCCTCTACATTGTGACCCTCACGGGGGTAATCTCGCTATTCGCAAAAACGACAATCGCCGTGGCGCCAATTTCGACGTCATTCTTTACGACCATGGTCTGTACCGTGATATACCTCTCGAACTCCGTCGCTCTTATGCAAAACTCTGGTTAGCAGTAATTGACGCTAATGAACCCCGTATGCGCAAATACGCTAAGGAAGTGGCTGGTGTAACCGATGAACAATTCCCCCTATTCGCCTCGGCTATTACAGGTCGCGATTACACCATCCTAACGAAAGATGTCGCGCTCGAGCGATCGGAAGAAGAGAAGAAAAATATTAATGATGCATTGGGTGAAGGAATGCTTCAACAACTTGTACAAATGTTAGGACAGGTTCCGCGAATTATTTTGTTGATATTGAAAACGAATGACTTGACGAGGAGTTTGGATGAGAATTTACATACGCGACAGGGACCTGTGAGAACTTTCTTGATTCTAGCGAGATATTGCACAAGAACGGTGTTTGAGGAGCAGCTGGAACAGATCAAAGCGAGGGGTAGCCTTTTGTGGCCGGCGAATGGATTTAGATTGTTGGTGGCGTGGTTGGGATATGTGAGGGTGGGGTTGAAATTGGAAGCTTTCGAGGTTTGGCTGAGAGTCAAGAGAATCATGGGTACAGCGTGAAGATCGGGCGGGGATTGAGAAATAATGTTCATAAGCAGTGGGGCGGTTATATTGAGCGTATCTTGCGTACATAAAGTAGTTAGCGGAGGGAAAGATGGTTTCTTCCTTCGGATTGTTGTATTGGTTGGGCTCCTTCTTCTTTTTAGCGCGCATGAAAATTCTTATAGATAGATAGATGAATAGATAGATTTGGAAGAGCTGAGAGTAGAAAGATAGATAGGGTGTATGAAATACGATTTCTGTTATGTTATGTTATGTTATGTTATGTTATGTTATGTTATGTTATGTTATGTTATGTTTATTGTAAGTTGTAAGTTGTAAATTGTAAGTGTGAAAGCACGAGGGAGATGAACGCGCGATGAAGAGTTAGGGTTGGTAGTCGAGAGGGGTCTGAAGATTAGTTGGTACTAGGTAGTTGCGATGGGGATGTGTAAGTAAGAGGGGAAATGAACACTAAGTCTCGCGCAGAAAAGATGTTGTAGTACGTACCTAGGTACGCTAGAAAGTTTTGTGGCGGGAGCGAGGGTTAAGGTTCTAATGTATAGTATAGTTTAATGAGAGTTACAGGTGAAGGTGAGAAGATTCTTTGGGCGTGGAGATGGATGTGGGAGGTTTATTGGGAGAAGATTGATGGGGTGGACTGAGATGGATGGGTAGATGGATGGATGGATAGATGGGGTTGGGAAATGAGGTGTAGGAAATTGAAGAGAGGGGGAGAGGTTTTTTCTGGTGGAGTTTGTGTGCTACATTGTGTGTTTGAAGGGTACTCGCTTTTCTTGAGCTTGGTAACTGTAGATAAGAAGCATTTGTTTGTTGACTGGTGTGGAATATTGTGATTATAAGGGTAATGTGAGCTACTGAGGAGATGAATGAGAATGAGAATGAGATGGATATCTGCTTGAGATTCAATACCGTAAGGACATTAATGGTGTATGAACTAAATATCTTGCATGAATAGAACGACCTGTCAGTATTTGGGGTATGGAATAGTGGATAGCTGCGGAAATGTTGGGATCTTTATCGTACGAGTTGTGAGATTGTTTAGATACCTAGGTATGAGAGAATATGCTTAATATCTTGCAAAGAGCAAGGCAGCAAAACCCATTTTAACCTATTGCTTGGTTCATGCTTATACGCATGGTCTTTACAAGTAGAGCAGCAAGCTTAGTCTGTAATGCTACTTAGAGGTAATCTCACAACTAGTGATGAGATTCTCAAATGCGGACGATAGATTGAGTGCTATCTGTAGGTATACATCATTATATCACGTTCATCTGGAGTATCTCCTATATCTCAGCCCAAGCTTAACTTCTCCATCCCAATAGCGCAAAGTCACCAAGTGAACATCTCCTCGACTATCTTATTTTGAGTATTGATTTCTTGTCCTTGTCGAGTGTATACCAAGCGCCCTCCTCTGGAATCTAAATCAAGGATTGGATCAACAGTCAACGGTCTTGCGTGTTCAGAATAAGTGTTCACTTCGCTCAACGTGCTTTCCTCAATTTCCACAATTCTATCCAAAGCATTCGCGACTAGTATGCTGTTCCAAAGTCCCTCCTGACGTTTAAACGAGCGGAGAAGACTAATAACCTGGCGACGAATGATAGGTTCTTTGCAATGGCGAACTAAGTTATAAAGGGGGATAATAACGCCCATGTCTAAATTAAAGGAAATGGTTGATTCTCCACAGCTACTGTCAGATAAGATATAAGAGATGATTTTCTGACCCAGCATTATCATTCTCTGGATTTGAGGCATGAATTCACTCCAGTGTAAGCGATGTGTTGGTGGCAAATATTGGATATAGCATGATATATGATTATCCAATGAGTGAAGTTGTAGTACTGCAACGGCGATGTCTTCTTTGGGGGTGAAAGACGAGCCTCTCGCTTCTATAAATGCTTGGAGCTCATGCGAATATTTCGAATGCAGAGCCTCAAAATTATCAATGATCTGACGAATACGGGTTTCGAAATCGATGGGGAAATTTACAGGTTCAGTTGGAGGTTCGGAAGCACGCGCGACACTGCGTTGGAATAGGTAACAACCGTATTCGAAACAGTTTTTGGCTTCTTCGACATTACGAAAGAATACAGGAACGTTGTCGTTTATTATTCCGGACAGTGGATTTCCATAGAATAAAGGCTCGTAACGTTCGGCCAACTGTAGCAATAATATTAATCAAAGTATAGACAGGGAGATGAGGGGAAGGACAAAAAAAGACGTACAAAACCTTTTATGGTTGTACATTCTCTATCTAATCCGGAATATATCCTAGCTAGAGCCCCTGGAGAAGCATATAAATCGACAGGACTTTTCGAACCGAGTGTTTGATGATAAACCATTCCATTCTGTTGGTCCCATTCGGTTTCACGCAGCAGCTTCGCGCCACTTTTTATATGTGCGCCTGCTGAAGCACGTTGTCCTGCCATACTCTATGAGAATCAGCATGTAAGCAAGCACATGAATGGTAACAACACACTAGTTACAGAAACGAGAAATACCTCAAAGTTAGCGAAAATAATGCAAGCGATAAGACAAACATCGACACCTCGCTTTTCATCCCGAGACAGCGGAGCTAAAAGATCTCTAATCGCAAAATTGTATTGCTCTAAAGCAAAAACCTTATCAATATCAGAAATTTGCGTCTTCTGCTCTGATAATTCATGAATAGCGCCTAGAGCTACAACGGCATGGCGTACAGCCGACTCATGATGCGCGGTTTGAAGCACAAGTCTTTCCCAGAAATCGGAACCGAAAAATCCGGCTAATTGAGAGCAAGTCCTTTGCACAAAGAATGCAAACGATCGCTTTGATTGCGGGGAACTAAGGATATCAAATGAAGAGTTTGCTGTGATGAGACTCATATCACTCGAAGGCGACGTGTCCAAGGTTGGGACATGATAGCCTGGACACACCCGACGAGTTGATGTACATTTAAGACATGCGGGTTTTACCTCGTCACACTTTATTCTTCGTACTATGTGGTTATTTAGTTTTTGTTATCCTTTTAATTTTCTGAAACTTACTTCGGCAAGTCAGGCAACCCGTCTTGGTCTTCGGCCGGTATGCTCGCTGTCTCCTTCCTTTCGCTACCTTGGGCATTGGGGACTAAGCAAAAACTGTCTACCAATATGACTTGAAAACTTAACAATGAAACTCAACAATCAACTCGTGTGGTAAAATTAGGCGTAGCGCGATGTTTGCTGTATCAAAAAGCCGAACGTACAGAATAAGTAAACAATGCGGGAATGGGAGATGATACTCGGTGGCTGACAGCATTCCCCCTGAATCTAAGCCACACAACCCCTAGTCTCTCGAGCCACACCACATATGAGTAGGTAGGTATGACATAGATGTCAGCTTAATAAAGGTAAGCTCGGTAAGTGAAGCTGTTATCCTAGATTATGCTGGGACCCCTTGCAGAGTGTAATCTTTGAGCGTTATCTGCTTATTTTCCTGTATCGATGGTTTCCTTGATTGACCAAGGGCGCAATACCTATGTCATAAACATTGATAAGTATCAGGACTCGCAACAGAGTATCAGAGTACTTCAGAATTCCAATATATAGAAAGAATATGGAGAACAGAAAAATAAGTAAGATGGCAGCGGCGAGATGGGCAAAGCTTTGTGCTCAAGAAGATCTCATCGCTTCCGCACAGCCAAGACATATAACCCCTCTGGAGAGGAACTCATGCCTTGGCAAGCGTGGGCATTATATTCGCTATCTTCTCCTGGTCGTGCTTATTTTAGTATTTGCTGTTGTTTCGAAGAACTTCTGGGGTGCCTACTTTGCTAGAGCTCTCTGGAATTTTATGCCCAGTCAGAAAAGCATTATTATTCACGATCCAGAGAATGTCGATTGGGAAACAGCAAGTTTCCACAATCCTTATTGAAGTTTACTTGCTAATATGAATCCTTTTCTAGATTATACCATCACCAAAACTGAGCTTTCATTCTTGCTATAGATCATTTGAATGTTCTCGTCTCGAAGTACCACTCGATTGGAATAACCAATCGACTGATTTGAGGCGTGTGGCAATAGCATTGATCAAACTCCCATCAAAGGTACACGCGGGTGATCCATGACATGGTGGTTCTATCATTATCAATCCAGGTAAGCTGGTGATGTTCCCTCGATGAAGCTAGAGCAAATACTAATCGACTTCTAGGTGGTCCAGGAGGCTCGGGTGTCAATCTTGCCAGAAATCAAGCACGTCATCTACAAACCATCGTAGACTCTCCCTCAGACCCGAATGATACTAGTAACACCAAAGCCACTAATAAGTATTTTGATATTGTCTCGTTTGATCCGCGAGGAACTGGTTTTACGACTCCTGCTTTTATATGCTTTCCCGATGCTGCTCAACGAATGAACTGGAATGTCGCTTCGGACGCGGAAGGAATGTTGGGGAGCTCCAGTGTAGCCTTTAAACTTATGTGGGCGAGAAAACACGCCCTTGCTGATGCTTGCTATACACGGATGGGTGTTGATGAGAATGGGGAGGATGCATTAGGAGCATATATGGATACACCTATTGTTGCAATGGACATGAAAGCGATAGTGGAAGCCTTATCTAGATCAAGAGACGAATCCGAGGTCGAGAATACACTAAATCATCGAAGATTGAATCTGTAGATAAGATTCAGTACTGGGATTTCTCGTATGGAACTCTGCTAGGCACGACATTTGCAGCTATGTATCCAGGCTTTGTTGGTCGTATGGTTCTTGATGGCGTGGTTGACGCTGATCGCCATTACGCCGGTAAGTTCTTCCTCCTTGTGTCTAAATTTCTGTCCAACTCTGCTAACCAAAAAGGCACCTGGGATGGGAACCTCGAAGATGCTGACACCATCATAAATAAATTTTCTGAGCACTGTTTTGAAGCAGGTCCCGAACGCTGCGCTCTATACTCCAGTAGAGGCTCAGAACACATTCACGATCTTTTAGACGACATCATCGCTTCCGTCACAGATGCTCCCATTCCAGTATCTGTTTCTGACGTACGTGAACCCGAGATTATCACGAGTAGCGATGTGAAAGGTGCAGTCCGTTTAGCCTTATACTCACCATTCGAAGAGTTTGAGGGACTGGCAAGGATCTTTTATGATGTTTCCCAAAGAAATGGAACACTTCTTGCAAATTCCAAGTCGATTGAATATGCATGGCAGGATCTTCAGCCACGATGTCGTTCGAGTGATTCATACTCCTCATATTGCTTCTCGCCCCCTATCGACTATGCTGAGGAGGTTGTTGGAGCCATCTCGTGCTCTGATGGGCCAGACCAATCTAATATGACTGCCACCGATTTCCTGGAATATTGGCAGCGAGTAAGGGAGGAGAGTATTTATTTAGGCAATCGATGGGCAAAAAACCGGATGTTGTGTGCTTTTTGGAAGCTCAGACCAAAACTTACATTTCCAGGTATGTTTGTTACTCGTGGTATAGAGCATTGAACCCTAACAACCCTCCTCAGGCCCCATCGAAAGCTCAACCTCGGAGCCAATTCTATTTGTCTCGAATACCCTGGATCCTGTCACATCTCTTGCGAAGTAAGGACAGTATTCATTTTTATGCCACCCAATTCTTGCTAATTATCAGTAGTGGTCAAAATATGAGTAAAAGATTCAATGGATCGAGACTTTTACAGCAAGATTTAGAAGGTGTAAATAACTCAATTTTCTTAAACTGATCTCGTCTCGTTTGCGGAAAGCTGAAAAAACGTAGCATTTATTCCTCTCGACGCCTTCGATCTGCAGCGCTAGGATTGTGAGGCAATATTTTCAAACAGGTGCACTTCCAGAAATTGGAACAATATGCCCTGTGTATGATAGAGCATCTGGCTTATCTGGCGAGGGACGTTCAACTACCATGAAATATGGCGATGAAATTTTGCTTAAGGCTTTGAGGGCTATAGCCACTAGTATGTGGTGAATGGAAGATACTATGTGGAAAGCGTAAATGGTGGATAGCGCAATTGCTCCAGTATATTCCTTCGGATGTTCATATTCCACAGATTATCCACAATATAAGGCATCTCCAAGACTGTATTGCCCTCGAGAAGTAATCTTGTGTTAAGCCAAATGGCATTGTCTGAACTGGTTGATATTACGGCTCTTGAGGTAGAATTGGCGGTGCAATTCCGGTACTTAAAATTTCGTCTATGTGGTGTCCACAAAGATCCGTCTGTATGCAGGTATCAACATAGTTCCTCTCGGAAATGTACACTTCGCGTTCCAAGACATTCGAGACCTGAACGGGCTGTTCTGACCAAGAGGTACGAATCCGTGATAGGTCAACCTTTCCGCTTCGTCTTCGACTCAAGCCCGATGACTCACAGGCTCTGGCTCTATCCGGCGTGACTCAATAATGTTATTCATTGTGTATGCCGCCAGTGGTATTTCCGCTGTAGATGGTTGAGATGTTAATTCTTCTAAAGTTTATCTGCGCCAGATTATGTTTTGTGTAGGGTCATGCGCTGGTAGTCCAAGGTAAACATAGTACTCCTTCTCTTTAATCTCAAATTTCGTAGTATCTCCGCGGTTTCTTCTTCGATTTTATTGTGGTTGGGTATGAGATGAGAATTTATTTGCACAATTGGCTTAATTAGTGACGACCTAGATACATGATCGATGGTTGAAGGCACAGAATCACGACCTGAAATCTTATCGTCCTTATCAGAAGCAAAGAACTCATTGTTGGTACCGAATGAGACTTGTCATAAAGGCAGATGTCGTGTTTGGCCACTTTCGGGATGCAGCCAATCGTAAAAAAGTTGGGGCAGCTTGTTGCTCTCTGACGACTGTCAGATTCCAGTTATCGACAAACAACCATGCGATGGTTTGAAGCGTACCTTGATGTTTTTCCCCTCGAGTATCCTTCCATGCTACATAATATCGATCAAAGATTCCAAAAGCAACACAGAACACGTTTTGCACATCCTGAAGTCGTGCTAAAGCGGATGGCCCGTTCTGAGCTGTAGTGAGAAGTTTTTGCCGCGTTGGTATCTGATGGTTCAAAGGTTCGTTACTGCAAACATTAACTAGGTATGTGGACGTGTTGTCACCATACGATTTATCTCGCCTTGACTTTGATTCGAAATATGTTACATTCGATACATTTTCAATTGCTTTATCCTGTGGACTCTGGAGGGAACTGGTGGGAAGTTCGGGTAGTGGCGTGGAACGACGGGAGAAAATAGAAGATATCGTGCTGGCGATACTTGGAAATGAACCAGAGCTTGAGGCGTAAGAACTCCGTGAACTACAAGATGAATCTGATGATGATCCAACAGAATCCCGGGAAGACATTTCAGAGAGCGAAGATGCAAAATATAGAAAGCGAGATGCCGAAGGAAAATCTAAGTATGATAATACTGAGCTCCATGTGGTCGAACAAAGTGGTACGTCAAATCACCCAAAACTTATACATTGAAACACTGTAGTTCAAATATTCATAACGACATCAGCTTGTATTCAAGCATAGGGGATGTAATATATATATGGTGAACTAAAGCTCATGGATATACGCGATTAACTTTGAATTCGAAATAATAACTGTTTGATTTGGTATACAATATCAAAAAGATTACCGGTACATAGACCAGGTATCCATTTAGTTTTATCTATGAAACTTAACTCAACTTCATAAACATAACAACACCACCGACCTTACAACTAGTAAGGTAAATGATGTCAAGGAACATTCTTTCTCTTTGCCCAATGAACAACTCAGACTGGATCGATGCTGTCGCAGATACTTGACGGGAGCCATCAGCGATATCAAACACGGAAGAATAAGATTCATCACTTCTTCATATTTCAAGTGTGTTGAAATCTATCGGCCATCGAGTTTCAATTATGTTTGATGATATATTAGTAAAAGGTTATCATATCGATCTAGGCAAGTCGACGCCTATATGAGTAAAAACTGCAAGTAAAATAATATGCCATAACTTCGCTGTATTGAGAGGTACTTCAAAAATTTCATTGAAGGTTTCATTCACATTGATGTGATGTTCGACCAAATGATTACGTAAGGTAGAAGCCATTGGTGAGCCAATCACTCGCAGTAAAAATTGGATTTTTGAGTTTGGAATAAATCCGACATGGACCGGAAATAAAATTCAAAAGGGTTCTTATTCCCAGTCGATGTAAATTTAAAATTTGCCGCCAGATTGACGAGCTGTTTCGCTTGTGTCGTTGAGAAAAACCGTTCAAATTTTCAGACGTGCAACAAAACAATTTTATGTTGCAATTCACGCGATAAATTCGGAGCTCGGACCATCTTGTCATATTCGCGCAGTCTCGAGCCAGTGAACATTTTTATACATTCATCCGAGCCGATTTGAATTAACTTTGAAGCTTCTGAGTTGACTGACATTTTACATACATGCTACTCTTACATTGTGATCTGGATCTATAAAATCAGCTGTATATCGTGTTTCCTTTTCAATATATTGTTGGACTATGTCATCGCTTCCTAAGACTCAACTGATTGCGTTTTTCATCAACGCTGCATGGTATTTCTGCATGATTGAACTTCGACACAAGCTGGAAATCAAGCACGCGTCTCACTTCTGATACGAAGAACGCTTGATAGATTGTTGTGTGTGCAACTGAACCTCTTCATTAAGACATTTTCACCAATACATCATACTCCGTACGATATGACATGGCATTCTGAATCATATCATGTGATTCTACTTTATGCCACAAGATTTCCATATCACAGATTATATTGTGAAACTGCACGACTTATTATGCAGTGCAACATTATATCATGGTGGAGTTATCTCATTTCGCCTAGTGGCTTCCCTCTCCGTACTCGCTTCTCCTGCCTACTTAGCTCAATTTCCACTACTTTTCTATTCTTCTCCAACTTCTTAACCAAGCGATCATCGTCCCGATCATAGTAAAGAGCCCATATGCCAGTTTTTTCACCGTTTGCTTCTTTTTTGACAGCACAAAATCCCTCCCATCCCTCGAGAGTCAATCTTCTGTCTTGTCTGGTGCAGTCGAATGGGCCTGTAATGTTAGGCTGAGCATCCAAACGCACTCCATACTCGACTTCGTAAGTTTCTCTTTAACGTATGTCTAATTCAAGATCGGAGCAACGTCTATGATAGTAGAGACAAGGCCTTCGTAGTTGGATCAGGACGTGGAAGATAATATCCTGCGAATAGATGTAGTGTGGGATCATTCATGCTCTTATTGATATATAGCTGTTTTTAGTATCAGCTTTTAGTGGCCATGTTCTTTGGTTTAGGATAAGAGAGATAAATGAATTGATTTCGTCGTAGAAGAGGTAACTTTGAAATCAGTACATTCTAACACTAACTTTGGAATCTCTGAGAATAATTTGCCTATGATCAACCTCAAGGCTAAGCGGTGATGCTTCAACACAACTTGTAATCAAATTGCATCTCCGTGCACGATGTTCTTCCTTGCGATCTTTGGTTTGGCCTTGTCTAATTGCCTCATTCGCGAGTAGTGCTGGTGCTGTCACCAGTGCAATGAGTAGCGAGTTCATGCTTACCGCTGCCTGTTACGACTGGTTGGGAGGTTTGAATTAGATCAAGACAACGACTGAAAAAGAGAGGCTGAAGAAGAAACTTGCTATATAGGGTTGGTGAATTTGATTTAAAAACAACATTCTCGAAGTGAGAACTTATGATTAATTGAAGTAGTTCTAAAGCATTAACCTGTACCTTTCGTCTTAGTGACGTCCACCATTATATTTGGAGTGCCGAGCATGGGTTTTCCCAGTGTTCGTAGAAAACAAAACTTTACGGTTGTTTAAATGCATTACATCAAGGCGCGAGTTTTGCTATTTGATACTTTCAGTGCCTTGATAATTTCGAATCTGGATCTGCCAACATCGGTCCCGCGAGTGTGGATAGTGAGGGATAATCTATAAATTTGACTTGCTAACCCTCTAGTCAGCAGCGCCGACATCAATTCTCTTCAAGACCATCTAAAACTCGGCAAATTGGTATCTACATTTTCGAATCATTTCCTACAACTAATTTCCATCGAACCTCATCCCCTACCCCAATATATCTACCATCAAGCAAATTCAACCCCTCTTCTCCCAGCACATGGTACTAACACAAAACCAGCACAAAATCGCCCGACAGAACAGCATTCAACCAAACCGCCTATACACCCACCCTCCTCCACCGACGAATCAAACAACAAACACAGAGCCACAACCGGAATCAATACAGCCCCATTACCCAACCCTCCCACCTCAGAAAGTCTTCGCACACCAGCAGGTAACTATCATACCCCCCGTCAAAGCAGACACATGTACAAACGTACCAGTATCTCCCCAATAAAAAACTAACCTCTCCACAGGAAATCTACTCAAAGGCGCTACAGAAGTAGACGACACTCTAAACCCGCAGCTGTAATGGTTTGTATAAAACATGATCTAGATGAAGTTCATCTAATGGCACGGATACGTGGTGATATAGTTACTGGACTTTACTAAAAACGAGTCACAGAAAAAGTTATTATGGAGTTTTGCAATTGCATATGCGAGGAGAGAAAATAATAATGAGATGGATTGGGGTTTCTCGATGTTTTGATTGGAAGGATTTATTGTTTACTTTTAAGACCTCGAATGTGGGACTAAGGCTATTTGTTCTTTCATATCTGGGAATTTGTGTATAGGTTAGAGTTAGAGATAGTGAATAGAAACTATACCTACCACACTCAAAACATCTCTTCAGATCTACGTATATAAGCCTCCAAATCACACTTCTTGATGAAAACTACAAATACCCCTTTCTCCTGGTCAAGAAATAATTGAGAATCCCGATTCAACTAATAAATCAGCTCAAAGTACTAGTATCATCTCGTAGAACATCCTCACCCTCCCAGATGGCATATCCCAATACTTGATAACCCACTATCTCAATTTCCTATCAAAGAGGAAGAAAAGATACACCACTACTAGAAGACATTAATTTTCACACCGCGGATATCTTTACCAACTATCCCGAACCTTGAAGTTCGTGGATTATATAACATTACAGGGGAATCTCTGTTCGTTCATGAAGCTAAGAGTAAGGGCAAAATACCAATCATCATCAATAATTTTCTCACCAGTGCAGTACTGGAATGACTTCTCGCATCGCTGTATGATACCTAGGTAGTTATAGCTAGATCAAAGTTTGTAATCGCAGAAACCACGAGCGGTGAGTAGTGTTCTCTATAGAGTGAATTACTTGAGGGGTATCTATCAAAATCAGTAGTTATTGAATATAAGACATCACACTCTATGATCGAAGCCTGGAAGGATGCCAGCTGCTTATTTCATATGTGCTGCCGCGAGATAAGCTAGATACAAGTTATATAAGTCGTAATCCTGTCTACATACATACATACATACATACATACATACATACATACATACATACATACATACATACTTCTTCACCTCTTAAGAACCAACTTCTATCTCCCCATCACCCATTAACAAGTGACCCCCCCCCGAAATAAATCCACATTTCTTCTCATCCATCCAGAATCCACATCCAGCTAATCTCAAAACCAACACTACTCCTAAGAAATCCCAATCCTCACAACATCTCATCAAACAAACCAAGGAATTCTCAAATTTCAAGATAACATCTCAACCCGAAACATACACAGTCGAGGCTATCGATGCAGTCCGCCAAGTAAACATATCATCAAAGCCCCAGCTGCAGAATCTAGAAAAAGGCATACACACTACCCTACCCACTACCCTACCCACAACAGCACATATCAGTAGCCGGTCAACTCTTAGAATGATACGATACACCCAAGCCCATATGCGGGTATGCGATGCGGCATCCCATCCCCAAGACAGTACGAAACCTCTAATTCGTATTCGTTTTCGAGTTGTTACCCCTTTGAGCTAGACCCCCTTACCCCTTGCTAGTATTCCCATGTATCGAGATCCGAATACGCACCCCCTGTTCCCATCACGTGTTTGTTGTGTCCTCGATACTTATTAAGTCTCTCTTGACCCTACGGCTTCGATTCGATTTGATATTCTCCAGTTCAATCGATCCCATTACTTCTCCTCTATATCAACATCAACAGTCCCATCTCCATCCATCCACCCACCGCAGAAAATCCCCCAACATGTCCACCCCCGTAGTGCTCGAACCCCAAGATCTCACTCGCGATTCCGCCTTCAAGAAAGCGCTGCATGGCCAGACAGGCCAGACCGATAGATCCTTCATAAACCTGATACACAAAGACAAGAACGCGCAGAAGCTAGCCGTGGATCAATACTTCAAGCATTGGGATAACAAAGTCGCCAAGGACGAAACATCGCTGGATCGTGATGCGAGACGGAAGGACTATGCTACGCTCACTCGACACTACTATGATCTCGCAACCGATCTCTACGAATATGGATGGTGAGAAGCACATCCCCTTCCTGCGCCATACTCCACAAACTATCTCCTACCAGAACAGCACTGACCACCCCTCCTCCATCCAGGTCCCAAAGTTTCCACTTCTGCCGCTTCACCCCCGGCGAGCCCTTAAAGCAAGCTCTCGCCCGACACGAGCACTATCTCGCCCTAAAAATCGGTCTTCAACAAGACCAGCTCGTGCTCGACGTCGGCTGCGGCGTCGGGGGGCCCGCCCGCGAAATCGCAAAGTTCACCGGCTGCAAAATCGTCGGGCTGAACAATAACGACTACCAAATCGAGCGCGCGACACGCTACGCGCGGCAACGGGGACTGGACCATCGAGTCAGTTTCACCAAAGGCGATTTCATGCAAATGAGTTATCCGGATGACAGTTTTTGATGGCGTCTATGCGATCGAGGCGACCGTGCACGCGCCCAGCTTGGAAGGTGTGTTATAGCGAGATATCAGAGTTTTGAAGCCCGGCGGGCGCGTTCGGCGTGTATGAGTGGCTTATGACTGAGGAATACGATAACGATGATCCTCGGCACCGTGCTCTTCGCCTGGGGATCGAGCAGGGAAATGGAATTAGTAATATGGAGAAGATTTCCGTGGCGCTTCAAGCCATGCAGAAAGCAGGCTTCGTCTTAGAACTCCATATGAATGTTGCGGATCTTGAGGGCGGGGATGCGATCCCGTGGTATTGGCCTCTGAGCGGTGACTTGAAATACATGCAGAGTATTTGGGAACTGCCCACTTTCCTTCGAATGTCACCTGTTGGTCGCACGGTTGTGCATAGCTTCATAGGAGCCCTGGAGACTATCCGTCTGGCTCCGAAAGGAACTCAGAAGACGGCCGATTCGCTAGCAACAGGAGCAGACTGTTTGGTTGCAGGAGCGAAGGAGAAACTATTCGCACCGATGTATCTCATGGTTGGTCGTAAACCAGCAGTGTGGTGAGAGGGGTGGCTGGAAGCGCGTAATTAACTGTTCGAATAAGAAAACTTATCAAATCATCTACTATAGTATAGTATAGTATAGCATTCGCTAACTCGAGTTTCATGATTCTTCACGTAACCATCTCAGTGAGTCTGCGTACCTAGATAGAACATGGCTTTTCAGTGACGATTTACTCGTTCCGTTGACCACCAACAAGCCAATAGTCCCAATACCCACCACAACACATCACCAACAACAGCACGCAAACCATCCTCCCCTAGTCTTCCAAACCACAAAGAAACAACCCAATAACCCCCAAAGTTCTCACCACCCCCGAGTGAAAACCCATTCGCACTTGCTAAACGAGAAGACTTCCTCAACCGACACTATGGATGAAGAAAAGTCTCGAGAGATGTATTGTACACTAAGACATACCCAAGTAGTCAAGTACCCAAGTAATTGTCAACGAAAATCCTTCACATTAAATTGCTACCTATATATTCAAAACTTTCCGATATAGCAATTATAAAGTAAAGTTATCATCCCCCTCAATCCCATCCAATTAGGTAGGAAGATAGCTAGATCTAAGAGCTCATCAGATTTTTCTGCCACAAAATATCCTTTTTTTTATGTTCATACACCTTTGAATTTCACGATTATCACCGTGAATTCACCCCAATTCCCTAGCACATCTATTCTCCTGTTATCGCTGATTATAGGACCCGGTCTTGAGAATCTTGTCTGTCTCTTTTTACAAAATAACGCCCGCTCCCATATGCATACCCAGATGCCTTACCAAATGCAATCCATTGACCTGGTCTACGCCGTCTTCATATACAAAGCCTTGACCTTTAATACGCCTGTCCAAAACCGTCCCCATTGTCGAGAAACATCAGGAGGCTTTTCTCAAACTCATAAGCTGGCATCATCGGCTTTTAACCCTACAAAAAAATCCCTAGTCATCTCAAAACTGAGCCAACTGCTCGCCATACTTGGGGCTACTTTGAGTAGATTGGGTACAATTCCCTTATACATGCCCATGATACCTTCTTGTGCGACAATTCTTCCGACAGCATCGAAAATTGATTTGTACTGGTATCCCATACCAGACATTGTATTGATCTGGAAACGACGTCGAAGAACATCACTAAAAAATGTTAGCTTTGAATTTATGAAATATTAACGGGCACCTTACAATGGATATGTGCATGTCTGTGCAACTGCGCCAGATATAGCGCCAGCTGCTAACTTTCGTACCGCACTGGGATTTTGGTCTCCCTCTGGAGTGAAATGCTTTCGTACAAGCTCATAAGTCATGAAGTTCAAGCCAACCTTATTTCTTCGTTAGCAATGCAATTCAAACAACCCATAACCACTTAATCCACACTCACATATGGTGCAACGCCAGCGACAGTAGGTATAATTCCTCTATATAATGCAAGAATGCCTCCTTCTGTTTTGTACATCGTCTTCAACGTAGCAAACATGCCTGGGAGCTTAGTACCATGCTTTCCCAAAGCCGCAAATGATGCAGACTGAATAGATAATCTAGTGCGAACAATATCTAGAGGATAGGTAAAGAATACGGATGTAATTCCGGCAGCTCCACCGCAAATGAGACGTCTGAAAGAACCCAAGTCTGCGCCAGGAGTGGTTTCGAAGAACTAGAGAAGCAAGGAAATCAGTAATTGCTTTCCATGAAATGCGCTCATTTGAAAGAGAATTTCCGCAACGTTCAGTTGGAAGAGAAATAGGAGAGATTCGAACATCCTTGAGCTCTTACCTTTTTATAGAAATTGTAACTTCCAAACTGGACAGCAGAATAGGGAACAATTCGAATACAGTTAGTGCCGTTACCCCTCATCAGTCCGCGCCAACCTTCCTCTTTCCACATCTTCATAAGCCCCTTTCCTACAGACATCTTGTATTCTTCTCGCCCTACACTCTGTATTTGAAAAAGAATCTTTAATCGTTCCAGAGGCGATACGACTGTTCTAGAAACCGCACCTGCCACTCCACCGGCGCAAAACGCTGCCACCACAGGCTGTGCGATCAGCTCTCTGAGTTGCAGAACTCTGGGGGTGTATTTGGGCGGGAGAACATCATTCTTAGACTTGTAGCAAAAACAAATTGTTAGCATGCATACTAGATAATGGGCAAGATTAAGCAAGAGAATAGAACATACGGCAGACATTTCCAGGAAAAGTAGCTAAGCTATGCACCTCAAAGGCCTAAAAGCTCAACGCACACCTTAAGCCCACCACGCATGCGAATTCGAAGGACAAGGTTTCGAGAATAAAGGGCGACTTTGATATTTGGTAGGATATATGAGAACGTAGACTTTTGAATAGAAATAAGAAATCGACGATCAATTGCTGAATATATTGTACATGTACAATTGGGAAAAGATCTAGGAGGTGGTGAGGCTGGCTGGGTTTGGGTTTTTTAAACCGAGCTTGACTGGGAGAAGATCAAGTACGGGGGGGGTACGAGATAGTGTCACCGGAGGATAGGAGTATCAATATCAATTTAATCTAGGTCTTTTGATGAGAGGTGATATCTCGAGAGAAAAAGGAGAATCGGCAGGAAGAATATGAGTAGGTAATCAACAAAGTTATTCAAAATGGCAAATTGGATTTTGTTTTTTCTATAAAGAGAAGAAGTCTAGGAGAATAATTTCCAAGGTCTATGTTGTTGTTGTTATATTGAGGAGGATTCGAGGAATTGATATAGCTACCTAGGTAGGTAGTAATAATAAGTACTGTTTGTACCTACAGTAGAAGTAGAGAACTTTTATCAACTTGACCAGTAATCATGAGCGGAAAAAACTTTACTCTACCAAGGTCCAAGGTGGAGGTCGTTTTGTGAAGGGTTTGTCGACGGAAAGTTCCATCTTTTCTGTAGTCATTTCTTACGAAATTAACACGATTTATTCCATTATATACCTAGATAGGTAGGTAGATAGAGATATATATATATATATATATGATTTAAGGAAAAGCAATTGATACATTTATATAAAATCATTTTCAAATTAATTTGTTAAATATTCCTTATATTTTGAAATCCTCATATATGATGACGACTAGTCCTACCATTGCTAATCGGCAACAACGTTGGATGATCTTCCACATTATGATGCCGGAGATAGAATTACCCCATCATTGCGAGCTACAACATGATGTCAACTTGCCTAGCCCTTCCGTAGTTTCCCGCAAGAACGATCGATACCTACATGCGGAGTAGCAGATACACAGGTATTCATCAACTCCTCGTACAAATTTGTTATTTGTTGGTAAATGTACCAATCCAGTATCAAATCGATCATGTATTCCTACCTACCATGTCCAGCTTGATTCAACAAGTACTAGGTGGTTATGTATAAAGAATCAGAACAATCTACAGACTGGACTGCGATCGTACAAACATGGACACGAAAACAAGTTCATTATGAATCCGAGTTCGAGTTCGAGTTCGAGTTCAAGCTTCACTGTACCTCAATAAACCATTCCATATCAATTTCGAAATAACCCGTATAGTATCTTGGTGATAGAATTCCTAAGTAGACAGACAACATTTTATGTCTACAATATAATACTATATATGGATTCAGTCGTCTCCCAAATAGAAAGCAATACCCATATGCGAGTGTACTGAGACATCCATCCATCATTAATCTCAAAACATCTTCATCTCTTCCATATCACTCGACTCCTTTTCATCACCCCTGACGAGGCCGAGTACTCACGACGTAGTCACGACGTACTCCGCCTTTCCGTTCAAGAGTACCGATACTTCGGTACATTCCAACCCACCTCCAGCTTCCCGGGCGGTCACCATTGACAAAAAATCAAAAATCAATTGTGCTTGATTGATGCCTCAGGCCACAAGGCACCAAGAAGTGAAAATCCACGGAAAATTTTAAGCGAATTCACGCACTGGGCTCCATATTCTTAAAACTTCTTCGAAATTGTTTTCGTTCTTGCTGGATCATTCACGACTTCTCGACACCCCTCGACGACAAACCCCCCAAATCGCCAATCATGGGTAGGTGAACACAAATTCTATTCCAGCCATCGTGTGCAAGTGGAAATTGAGTGACTTTATGATGAATTGAGATTGAAAGTTGAAAGACTGAAATCACAAATCGCATCGTAAAAGATCTCAATTCTCTGCGCAACATTGTGTCTGTGCAAGACCGATGTGAAGAGCATACTTGATCATAGGCTGACGAGGAATTTTCTAACTAGGTATCGATCTTGACAACCACCACGTGCGCAACACTCACCGTAAGACGCCAAAGAGTGACAATGTCTACCTTAAGTTGTTGGTAAAGCTCTACCGCTTCTTGGCTCGTAAGTCCATCTCAAAAGTTCTCGGCCAAAGTAACATGCGCTAACTGTCAATTTCTTTCAGGCCGCACTGAAGCCTCCTTCAACAAGGTCGTTCTCCGCAGACTTTTTATGTCCCGTATCAACAGACCTCCCGTTTCCATCTCCAGAATCGCATCCCAAACCAACAAGGAGGAGAAGAGAACCGTTGTCATCATCGGAACCGTCACTGATGACAACCGTCTTTTGTCCGTCCCAAAGGTCAGCGTTGCTGCTCTCCGCTTCACCGCTACCGCCCGTGCCCGCATTCTCGCTGCCGGTGGTGAGGCCTTGACCTTGGATCAATTGGCTCTCAGATCCCCAACTGGAAGCAACACTGTTCTCCTCAGAGGACCAAAGAACTCCAGAGAGGCTGTCAAGCATTTCGGTTTCGGACCCCACAAGCACAAGGTAATAAATCCAATATGGCTTTTAATTGACAAATCTGACAAATCTGCAACAGAAACCATACGTCGAGTCCAAGGGACGCAAGTTCGAGAAGGCTCGTGGACGCAGAAGGTCCAGAGGTTTCAAGGTCTAAATGGCCTAATTGGGGAAGGGACGTTACGAACTTCTGGCTTTGCTGGTCTAGATACCTCCAAGAAGGGTGGAGGGATGTCAACAAGCTATTTAAGGCGAGCTGGATCCGCAGTACAGTCTTTAGCATATGAATACTACAAGAAAATGATGGTATCGATGCAATTAGGAGTAGTAATCATGAATAGTTTGATTCCACCCTAGCTTAATTTTCCATTTGCACATGTGATAGTCGATGTGATCACCAAATTATTCGTCCATACAAGTCGAACGTGCTATTATACAATTTAAATTCTCACTCGTTCTCTACTTACACATCATTGACATAACCTAAACTTGCAGCGTCATTGTACCCATTCCGCCTAAGAGCTACAAAGTATGCTTCCTTCGATTCCTATTGATTGTGAGTATATAAGTTCTCTTCTTTAGTTTCCAGGCTCACTCACGCTCCTCGATGATTCCGGCTTTTCTCTATGCACCACGGCAAACATTTTCTTCAGCTTCAACTCCAGCTCTTTATCCTCCGCGCCCTGATAAAATTTACACACAAAATGACCCCCCGGTCTCAGCGTATCAAAGGCAAATTGCAGAGCCGCGTTGCAGAGATCCTACATGTAGATGAGTAGGTAGTGGTTAGAAAAAATGGTGTGGATGATTGAAATAACATTAACATGAGAAAAAAGAGGGGAGGGGAAAGAAATGAAAGAAATGAAAAATAACATACCATACTCCCCGCATGATCGAAAAACTTGATACCGGTCGTGTTCATCATCCTATTATACGGGTCACTCAGACTTCTCTTCCAAAAACCGGTGGTTTGCTCCCAGGGGGCGCACATGTCACTTAGTACTACGTGGACCATTTTCGAGGCGTCTTTCCCTGGTTCCTGGGACTCCAGCTGTTCGTGTGATTGCGATTGCGAGGGCCGGATTTCCCCGGCATCGTGATCGTGCTCGTACTCGTGATCGTCCATCTGTCGTTCGAGATCGATGTAACTTGGTTCTGAGGCGGCGATATCGAAGGTGGCGGGATCTTTGTCATTTTCGACGTCCTCGGAGGAGGGAGTGGAGAATAGAGGTCTGCGTGGACGACCGCGCTCGGGATCGAGAAGGAAATTCTTGACGGATTTTTGGACCCGGCGGGAGAGAAAGTTTCCTTGGATGGTGGAGACGCCTTGGGGAGGCTGCGCGGGGATGATGTCGATGCCGAGGATGCGGCCGTGGGGTTGGGTGCGTTCGTATGCTACCTGGTGGGGGAGGGTGAGTGGGATGGGTAGAGGGGTGGGTGGAGAGGTAGATAGGTAGGTAGAGAAGAAGGGCGAGGGGATATAAAAACGTACCTGAGACCAACTTCCCGGCGCATATCCCTGAATTTACTTCTCAACAAACTATTCCGACCTCACCTCGCAATCCCATCCATACCATCTCTAATCATAACCATAACCATAAACACAAAGAAAGAACTCACCAAATCCACCACCGTCTGTCCCCTTTTAAATATCTTATACTTCTTATCAATCTGCAATCAAGCACCTCATTAACATCCATATAAACACAATTTTCCTCTCCCCCCCCAATCCACACACACACACACATACACACATACCTCCAACAATTTAAACGCCGCTCTACTCCTCAACCCCTTAACCTTCGCCTCCCTAGCCCAGGCATCCTTTCCCTGGCGACTTTTCCATCTCGTCGACGAAGACGACGAGGAGGCGTTGCGTACATGTACGTATGCGTGTGCGTTTCTCCCTAGCCCATTATCACTATAAAAACCAATCCCATTTCGAAAATCCCAAAATCTACCCCGCGCGAGCGCCGACCCCGCTTGGTGATTTAGCAGCGCGGGAAGATATGAGTGATGTCGAGGGAGGATTCCAAGGCCCGAGGTCAAGAGTGTGGGGTTTAGTCGAGGTGGTAGCATAGCATAGGGTTACTAGGTATGTGGTGCAGAGAATTCGTTCGTGGCTGGTTTGGTGAGTGGGAAGCTTGAATGGTTTCGGGTGTGTATGGGATGATGAGATTGAGACTGAAGAATTTTTATTTATCGCATGAGCTCAAATTTTGTCAATTTGGATTATTTTTTGTGGTCTTATACAAAATTTTTCCTATTAGTGTTTATGAGAGCGCAAAGATTTTTTTTATTCCTATGAGTAGACTAAAGTATACGGTATGATATTACTTGGTCATACAATGAGACACCCAGATATTGTCACATTTACAAGTAGAAGATAATTTCATTTCTTGGATACAAATCATGCAGTTATTCATAACCTACATATACAAAACACCAACGCCTCGTGAGCCTGTATTCTCTCTATCCTAAACGCCCAATGATTTCATTATTTCCACACTTATGCCAAGAAACTTGCTCCAGCACCCCTACGATCCTTCTTCAAAGGCGAGAATGCTCCAAATCCACCAGCAGCCGCAAGACCACCCTTCAATCCTCCCCTTGGTCCAGCAAGACCACCTTTACCAAGCAACCTCGCTGGTCCAAGTGCAATCTTCGCTGGTTTCTTAGGAGCTTCACCATCCTCGTCATCAAATAGTGTCTTACTGACACCCCCGAGAACTTTACGTTTCTTCTTCTTTAGCTCAGGCTCTTCAATAGCCTTGATCTTAGCTTTCACAGGCTTTTTAATCTCTCGTTCTTCAGAATCTTCTGGTTCTTCGGGTTGCTCATTTTTATCCACATCCTCTTCTTCCGCAACCTTCTCTAGCATAGATCGTGCTTTGGGTTTTCGAGCTGTAGGTTTCTTAGATTGCTCATCTTCGTCTCCGTTCTCCTCCTCTGTAACCTTTCCCAGCGTACGTGATTCCTTGAGTTTCTGGGTCACAGATTTTTTATTCTTGGTACTAGTCTTTGCTTCGGACAACACGTTTTTCTCGTCACCAGAGTTATCGGCTAGCTTCTTTCTGGCCTTGAGCTTGGGCTTGACTTGTTGTGCAGGTAAGTCAGGTGTTTCCTCTTCTTCTTCGAGAATCTGGTCCCCCTCGGTGAAATTTTCTTGCTCCATTACTTTCTTAGCCTTATCCTCAGGTGATTGTCCATCTTCTGGTGTATCTAGAGCCATGTTGATTGTCTTGTTCAAATAGGGTGTAATGGAGAATGTTGACTTTTCTCCCAAAATTGTTTGATCAACTCTACCTCTATTCGCTCCAGCTCGCTTTCCGCGCCCTGCAATTCCATCTGGTGTTCCGATAGTAATATCCATGCTCATCTCCCTGGCGGATCTCTTGCGAGAATCTTTCACTGGAACACTTTCCCGACTCGTGATAGCGGGGAGTTTCAATGCTGCATTACGTGCCTCATTCAATTCGGCCTGACATTCTTTCAATTGTTCTCTTGCGGCTCGCATTTTTGTGCGGAGCTGCTCAACCTTGCTCTCCAAGGATCCAATTAAAACCTGAGAAGCAGCCAACTCCTTCTGTGTTTCCTTATGAGCTTTTTCGATGTCTCGTTTCGTATGGGCGAATTCTTTTCTGAGAACCTCGATTTCCTTCTCTCCACCTTCCTGTCCTTTCTCGTTGTCGCGAAGCTGTTCGATTTCTCCTTCCAAAGTTTCCACCTGAGCTTGAGAAGCGGCCAACTCCTTTTGGGTATTTTTGTGTGCTTTTTCGATATCTCGCTTCGTAGACGCAAACTCCTTTCGAAGAACTTCAATTTCCTTATCCCCAGATTTCTGTCCCTTGTCGTTGCTACTCTTCAATAGTTCTATCTCATTTCGAAGAGCCTCTATCTCCTTCTCCCCAGCCTTTTGTGCATTCTCACTGTTACGCTTTAGAAGCTCCAATTCCTTTCGGAGAGCCTCCGTTTCCTTTTCTGAAAGCTTGTGGTTCTTCTCGATTTCACGTTTCTCTTGTGCGAATTCTTTTTGGGCAGTAGATGCTTCTTTCAACATTTCTTTCTTGGCCTTTTCCCTCTCTCGCTTCTCTTCGGAAAGGTCTTTCTGCAAAGCCTCGATTTTCTGTTGGAGTTCCTTTTCCCTTGAATGGTCATTGTTCTTCTCGGTGGCACGGCTCAAGGCCCGACGCTCTGTCTCTAATTCCACCTCTAAAGTGCTAACTTGCCGCTGAAGTGCCAACTTCTCTGCTAGGATCGATTGCTGATGTGCCACTTGAGAACGTAAATGCTCCAACTCTGGTTTGAGTATAGATAACTCGCGGCTGAGTGCCAGTTTTTCGGTCAGAACCTTTGTCGAGTCCATCGTCAATCCACTCATAGATTCCAGCTCCGTCTATACAGCCATGATTAGTATGACAATCAGATATACCCGGGGATTTTCAAGTACTTTGATGTTATTGAGTTCTCGTGTTTGAAGTCTTAAATCCGTTTCCACCTTCTTTATATCCTCTTGAGCCTGGTCAAGTTGTGCTCTTAAATCTTCATTTTCTTCTTCTAACCCATCAATTCGATCATCCCCGGTTGCCAGTTGAAGGTGTAATTCATCCGCCTCATTCTCCAACAAGAGGATCTGTAATCTCAACCGCCTACTTGCTTCATCTTTTACGATTAATTCGGTGTTTTGAAGTGCTTCCTGATATGCCAACTCGAGACATTGTGATTTCATCAATCGCTATAAATTTGTGTTAGCCCCCGAAAACTCCCATCTGTCTTAAGCAATAATAAAAGATCCTACGTACACTTTCGATGTGTTCATCATCATTGTATGACAATATTTGATCCATTTTTAAAATTATACTTATGAAATAAAATGTGTTTTTAAAATACCTGTTAAATGGTCGAAATGTTCAATCGCGTTCGAAAGTCAACAAAGTCTCCCTAAGCGTTAGATGAGTTGCCGGGTCGACGTGATTTGCCCCAAGTAAATAGCCTCAGGCATAAATGTATACTAGAACCACACCATACTTGTGATACGATTTCCATGGCCCCGCGAGGTGGAACTTACCGAATTGAATTAAGGACACGCTTCGAGCTTCGTAAGTGTTTGGTGATGATATCTCGAATGCTTCAATTTATTTGATAAAGCATCACTAGTCACAATCATTCGATTATTCCTCTGCTATCGACATTACCAATTTCAACCTTTAGAGGCATCTTGGCCTTGCATTTTATTTAAGATGCATTTCCTCAAGGCATTGGTAGCTTCCTTGCTACCTTTAGCTGTTCTAGCTGCCAAAAAGCCCGCGGTCGATAACTTTGAACGATACCATACCAAATCTCTCTCATCTACCCCATTGAAGCTCGATGATAGTGTCTACAGCAAATTGACCACTGCACCAAGAGATTACTCTGTTGCCGTATTGTTGACAGCTTTAGAAAATAGATTTGGTTGCCAGTTATGTCGTGAATTTCAACCAGAATGGGATCTACTGTCAAAGAGTTGGATCAAAGGAGACAAGCAAGGAGAATCTCGCCTGCTCTATGGAACACTTGACTTCATGGATGGCAAAAGCACTTTCCAATCTGTATGTTTAGCGCTACGAAACTACAATCAATCGATACTAATTGCTGGATAGCTTAATCTACAAACTGCTCCCGTCCTTCTACTGTTTTTACCTACAATTGGCCCTCATGCCTCTACAATCAATGGCCCCGTGAGATACGACTTTACGAACGGCCCTCAAACTGCTGAACAAGTCCACTCTTGGATTACTAGACATCTCACCGATCGACCACATCCTCCAGTCCAACGACCCATCAATTGGCTCCGTATTGGCGCAGTTACCACTACTATTCTAGGAACGGTCACCTTTATTAGTGTTGCATGGCCATATGTCTTACCCGTCGTTCAAAACCGAAATGTTTGGGCTGCAATAAGCTTGATTGCCATCCTTTTATTCACCAGTGGTCATATGTTCAACCACATTCGAAAAGTTCCATACGTTGCTGGTGACGGACGTGGAGGTGTCAGCTACTTTGCAGGTGGATTCTCAAATCAATATGGATTGGAAACACAAATCATTGCTGCTATGTGTAAGAAATCCTCTTCCATACCTAAACATATTTACTTGCGACAATACTGATCATTTCTCTCAGATGGGCTTTTGTCCTTTGCAACAATCTCTTTGGCTCTCAAAGTTCCACGTATCTCAGACCCCAAAATTCAGCAAGTCGCAGTCCTCGTATGGAGTGGAGTAATCTTCGTTATGTACAGCTTCTTACTTAGCGTTTTCCGTATCAAGAACGGCGGATACCCATTCTGGCTCCCACCTTTCAGCTGAACGGTGTAATCTACGAGTCTGTTAAGTGACCAAAGAGATATCCATGTATCATATACCGCCCTCCGTGGTCGGTTTCATATACTTACTGAAAAGCGAATCTTACATTTCCTTGGCCCCAATGCTTGGCCTCAAATAAAAATATTTTAAGAATTAAATATTTCATTTTTGTTAGAGCTTTCACCGTGTGATAGTCAATACATGACCAAGTGTTCTTTTCAACCACCAAAAATTGGATTATAATCGTCCATCATATTAAAAATTAAATTGTTAGACTGTGTTTGTAATTGCTTGAATCGAATGACTTGACATCGATCTCACGAACCTTGCTACTTCATAGAGTATTCGAATGTTTGGTTTTATCTTGGAAATTACTCTTCCAATCATCAGGGAATTACTAGTTTCAAATATTCATAAAGCTGTCTGGGTGGACCATTCTCTGGAGCTGGATGTCGCACACAGCTCTGCGACTCGTAAACTCTCTTTATGCATTCTGAACTGGTAGCGAGGAGATTCATGTCGCATAGTAGAGTCAAGGTCAGCAAAAGAAATGAACCGAAATTCAATGACTCAACCAGAATGTAGGATTGTAGTTAAATCATGAAAGGTTTGAGAATATGTTTCATCTAAATCTATTGAAATACATGGAGATATTACACATATAAGAATAATAATAAAAAAGGGGGGAGGGGGGGAGTTCAAGATGCATTCTACTTCTTCTGGGCCGGATAATGGATTGACTGGCCACCAGTAAGAAACGTACAATGCGAAGAGACCTTCATTATTCAGTACGAGCTTGTGTATACGGAGGCCATAAGATTATTGTAGTCCAATAGTATTAGTGCTCTACCAAGGGTCATTTTATGTTCATTCTGGTCTTAGCCACCTTCAAGCAAATGCCGCGGCGACCACGAAAGGAGCTCTCGTGCTTTGAATTGGTTTCTATGCCCAAGACCACCAGCACTCCAAGGCATGTTTTCAGTTGCAGTCTGAAAGTACTTGTGCTTCTTTGGTGATCGCAAATCTCAGTAGTGGTCTTTCCGAGTGACTTACTAAAAGACTGCTCTATCTAAGTGGGAATGCAATAACGAGCTTGTATTGGCAACTGGAGCTATGCCCGTAGTTCTTTGTGCTGTGACCACCAAGTATCAATAGGTAATATGTGGTTTCTTGACGAGGACTAGACTGTACCCGGCCAGATCTAGTGGCAGTCCATCTGTAAGCAAAGTGTCTATCGTGGCACTACTTGAGGCGAGAGTAGATGACAATGCGTGGCTATGCACTAGAGAACTTGAAGATGGTAGTTCTGAACCAGAATGCTGAAGTATTGTTGGCCTCAATTGCACTTTGTTGCTAGCCGTAATGGAAGTATGGGTTTTGTCTAGAGGTGTTATCTTATGACACCCGCATAGTGAACATGTTGAGTGTTCAAATTCATTCTTCTTAGGCAGTTGAGGGGGAAGCATGATGCTGTTTTGAGCCTCAGGGATATCGTCTAGTTGCCACGACGGTGACTGAAGATCAGGTTCTGGCGGCGTTGATGAAGCTGTAATGCGATAGATCGGTGCATTTGCCGCATTAGTCGAATAGATGTTGTTGAGGTCGGTTAGCTCCCAGTCATGAGGAGTAGTGTATCTCGAGATGCAGTGTTTAATCTCTGGGAGCGGTTGCTGTTGTGATACCAGATCAACGAGAGGATCGATTGTCCGAGATCCTGAATTGTTTGTATAAGGCATACAATTCCCTGCTTCCAGTAATGAAGTGGCATGGGGAAATGAAGTGTGGAAATCGTCATAGCTAGCATCGAATATCTCTTGTGGGATGCTGTCAACTTGAATGGTATCATCCCAGCAGGGTTCTAGTGAAGAGGGCGGCCGGTATGATGATGGACTTGAAATATCGTAATTAAATTGTGGAGGAGTAGAGTTGTTTGTTAGAGGGTCCAACCCGGGTGGTGATAATCTTTCCAGCGGAGCTTGTTGTTTCCAGAAATTTTCGTGTTGGATAGCATTGAAATCAGCGCGTGATTTTTGTCCTTCCAATTATCAGCTTTGCTCAAGTCTTCATTGTGTGCGGTTGAAAAAGTTCGACCTGCAGTTTCGAGGGCCCTCACTATGCTTGCGTTGTGATAAACGATTCTGAACTCTTTTCCTCATCCTTGGCTCGGTAATTTGGGTCCAGTCTTCCTCATTTTCTGAACTTGGAGTTGGAGTTGGACCCGAGTTCGGAACTGGCCACATTTCATTGTGCTGGATCGGGTTTGGACATGTCTATAGGGTTAAGCTTTCACAAGGAACAATAATATGCAGGTTATATGGTGTGTGGAGGCTGTTATAATATGGGGACAAGTTAAGCTTTGTATCGTAATTCGAGTTTGTGAGAGTGCGAGGAATCGTATAGTATTAACTTTTATTGGATGCTATTAACTTTAAAGTGGCTCCCTGATTCGAAGGAATGGATTCAGGGTATCAGTTCCTTCGGGATAGTGTTCCCATTTGTGAGGCGAACAAGTCGGAGGCATATTTTAAGAGCGGGCGAGAACCCCTTCTTCTTTCTTCCATATTAGCTTCCCTCGTATGTTGTTGCAACGGAACACCTTGAACTGTTTTACCCGTCCACATCCCGTGTAACTAATGTGTGCTGAAATGCCGTGGGAATGCGGAATTTCTGCGTGAGAAAGCCAGGGTCTGAAAGCTTCGGTAGCAATCAGCACCTTTAGAAGTGTAGTGGCTGACGAGTCTAGCTTTACGTCTGTAAGGCGTGCAGAAGTGCTTAGCGACAATTCTTACGCGCCTTTGTTTAGAGGCTCTGCGATGGACAACAATATACCTCAAATTTTCATGGATCTCGAATTGTATCTGAAGCTTTGAAAATTGATGCGTTGTAAAAACTTCGTTTCTGAATGCCCTATATCTATTCCAATCTCTCTCCGCGTCTTACATCTACTTCACAAATACTCTTACACGTGGGCAAGTACTATTGTTCCTCCCTGGTCAATACCCCTGCCATACTTGCTTACGGTTCCATCGACCCGGCCGAGTCGGCCGAGCCGATATCGTACTCACCCTTTCTTACACGAGTTACCTTGAAGAAAGTAGGCTGATAAGCCGGTCATTAGCGTGCTATAGAGACCGACTTTATGCAAGTGATACAGATAGCTACTTTAGTCACTGTCCACCCCCACTTCTTCCTAAGCGGGGAAGCTCGAAGATTCCTGATACATATCAAGAGTCAATTTCACGACAACAACATGTGTTGCCTGAATACTATTGAGAGTTTATCTCAAATTAAGTATGCTACCCCTGCACTGGCACAACCGCCGGGTTTGTGACCTACCAAACGCGTTGAACAGAGCAGAGGTACTTGACACGAATTACGATACAAAACTGTACTTTGGGAATTGCACTATTAGAGCATGACGATATTATGAGTAAACCCCCAATCATTTGAATCAATATAAACTTGAAAAGATATGATACGAGGTGTATCTCTCTTTCGCTTCCCCTTGACCGATCAATGTCTTATAGATATCCCAGCCCTTCCACCATCAACGCCCTGGCCATTCCCAAGCTCTATCTGTCTCTTCAATTGATTGATTGAAGCTGGGATTTATTGAAGGAAACAAATACCCAATAAGGTGTCATGGATAATGGTTTATTGTGCACCAGGATCTATATAGGCACCAGAGAGGGATCTTGTCATTGGCTCGCTCGCTCGCATTGAGTACTAAAAAGACGCGTATTGTTACCTCAGGGTATTATGTGCAGTATCGAGCCTCTACGTTGCTGATCCTTTACTTTTTAGAGACGGTCGCTCTGAACGATCGAATGATGTTGTCTCAATCAAGACTCAAATCTATTTACAATTATAGAGGCACATAGCAAGCACAACGGAAGCACGAGGTAGGCACGAACGAGTATTTGGATTGGATGGTTCTACGAGTACTGTAGGAACAGTGGCTATGTGCGAAGATATCTACGTGGCACCACTGTTGTGGCGCTATCGTCTCGAACGCCTTGCATTCAACATAACATTGCCTAATCGTATCGGAACAACAAAAAGCCACTTCGTAATTTCTTAAAATGTCAGGAAAACCTTCAATGATTGTGGCTGAATTGGGTTGGGAATTTTCAATTGTTCATATTTGTTAAATCACCGATTTAGGCAAGACTTAAGTAGAAGAGGTTGATTTGACTTGATCGGTTGTTCCAAAATTCTGAAATTACAAGTCAATATGAAGACAAGTAAATAACTCTAATCATCCTCTAGCACACGAATATACTGACCGGCCAGCAGTGTATCTATGAAATTATATTATGACCTGCGGATCTACGACAGGTAAAATGCAATTTTAAGCTCTCCTAGCCAAATAGATGCTTTTAATCTTTCCGGGAGGAGGAGAGCATCGAAACAATTTGCAAATATCTCCTAACCACGTTCTCAATTCTCCACTGGTTTGTATTTCATGGCAGCGAGAAGGGGAGGCATGAGACATACTGCTCCAGCAGCCATCACTACCCCGGCAAAGACAATAGCCTTGACAAAATAGTCCGTATCGAGATCAACCAAAGCTCCAGCAATAGGCGGCCCGATGAGAATTCCAATTGCCGCTGTGATCCAACTCATACCCAATCGAGTTCCTATGACACTCATTGAGGGCGATAATGTTGGGTGTGCCACTGCTGCAGCGGGTGCTGTCACGAGGACGCCAGATATGAATCCCCAGATAATACAAAACACTATAAAGCCCGCTTCATTGTGTATGCCCAGCCAAGAGAACATTACGATGACGGCGGCAACAGTCCAAAAAACAAATATTTGGATGGAACCGACGCGGTTGGCAATCAGGAACGGAACCGTTCGACCAAAGAATGAACCGGCGTTGGTAATGGCTAAGAGGTAAAAGGAGAGATTTTCGTCAATCTTGAGGCTGTAAATGGCGTAGGAAGGGATATAGAAGAGGGGAATGTAGAATGCTACAAAGATGAGAAGAAGAGAAACGGCGAAGCCTAGAAATGGAAGTTCAGTGAAAGCTTTAAAATCGAAAAGAGCTTTTTTAGTCGCAGACTTTGGCCTTTTGTGCCGGCTTAGTATGGCGAGGGAGACAGCAAGTGTGCCGAGACTGATGAAGCCGATGGCGCGGACAGCCCAACCAAATCCAACCTTTGGTTCTAATCTCCGAAACATAATTGGGAAGATTATTCCACCTAGTCAATTTCACTTAGTATCGGTCGTGCCATGCCAGATGAGTGTTAACCAACCTATGCTTGATCCTGAGGAGGCACATCCGATCGCAAATGGTCGTTTTGTGGTGAACTGAGTTGAGATGATGGCGAGTGCAGGAATATAAACTAGGCCGGCACCTAGGCCAATGACAATTCCCTGGGAGAGGATTATTTGATAATACTTCGTAGAGAGGCTAAGCATCATCGTTCCAAACACAATCATGAAGCACCCAGTGGCCATCAAGATACGAATATAACCTCGATCAAATAATGGCCCGGATACAATGCCAACAAACACCACCAAAAACGATTGTATACTGCCAATCCATGATATCGATGATGCAGACTCAGGCAGAGTGGTGATATAATAAGACTGAAAAGCTCCAAAGCTTGCAGTGATTCCCCTTTATTTGATGAGTCAACATAAATATGTAATGGATTCAAGACTGAAAATCACATATACATACCAAGTATTCGTGAATATAAAAAATGCACCAAGTACACACAGCCAAGCGCCTAGTCCGCCATTTGGCGGCGTGGGTGGAGACTGTGGAGTGGACTCGTGAAGTGGGGCCTTCGCATCCGGGGAAGATTCTGGGGAAACTGCATCTGTTCGTTTATTCTTCTCCTCGTCGCTGCTAGTAGCCATCGTTGGTGACCTTGTGACTATTGATATATCTTCCACGACGTAGGAGCTGGGCTGTATTGACGAGATTGTATTCTGCCAGCTTTGCTTTCACTTCAGAGAAAAACCTAGGTAGACAACGCACTGTAGCAAAAGTAAAATTGATTCATTATTTACATCGTCTCAGGGCGGTAGGTTGACTGAATAGGGGTGCGCATTGAAATCCTAAGTCCTAAGTCCATTAAATCCGAGATGTGGAAGAGAGGGGTGGAACGAATCAATCAATATTCATACCAGATTACATCATTATTATTAGTTATTATGCAGGACAAGTTCCAATGTTTGAACCTCCTCTTGAAAGTACCGCTATGGATCCAAGTAATCACTTGAAAGCAATTTGCAGGTTATCAGACTCAATATTACTCTATGGATTTAATGCTAAGTCCGGTATTATGGCCAATGTTACAGTGACTGCATGCATATGATGCATGGAACAGCCAGCAGCGGCCAACTACTGTGGTCAGAGTATCCTTGTTTGATTGATTTGCGGCTGGATTCAGCCTATAGCTCATAGCTTACAGGGCTCCAATAGCGCCCAACTAGCAACTCTTTTACTTATAAGATTATTAAGAATGTTGAGAATTTGAATTGAGGCACAGCAAAATGGATCTATCATACGCCCAAGTCACGAGATCTGTTTTCATGTTTCCAACTCTCGTATTCTGTTGGGTAAAATCACCCCTTTCCAAGATTCACAAGCTTCATACAGCCACGGGGAGTCTAAATGAAATGGTGGAAATAGCGCTGAAATAATAACAGGTCTTGTATTGTGCTGTCAGTCGCTTGTTCTTCCATCCACTTAATGGCTACCCCGGACCATTACTCTCACGGTTGTCTAGTTTACCGGTCCTCTACCATGCTTGGAAGGGGGATCTTCATTACCACCTTTTCCGATTACATCTCAAACATGGTATTGTACCTTCGAACGATAACGATGTTCTCTCTAGTGCTAACTATTTTACAGGCAAATACGTACGCTACGCGCCAAACAAATTGTCCATCAACGATTCTGACGCTGTGAATGGTATTTCCCCATGCACAATAAAAGAGAATATAGTGCTAAACCGTACTACTAGAAATTTATGGCTTCAACAAGAATACGGCGAAGCCAGAAGAGGCATATGCAGCATTCCGTGTGAACAAATATGCCATCAACACGTTCAACACAAGTTCTAAAGAGGCCCATAGACGAAAGCGTCGTATTATGGCGAAGGGTTTCTCGGATGTGGCACTTGCGACCTACGAGGAATCTATTTCTCAGCCTGTGGATGAATTGATCTCAAAATTAATGAGAGGAAATACAAAATCAAACACCGCCCAGACAGTAACATCAGATCAGAAATGTGTTTTCAACTGGGCTTATGAAGCTAATTGTCTAATGCTGGATATAATGGGACATCTCTGTTTCGGTGCTGCATTTGGCTTGTAAGTCAAATCGTGGGGTTTCGTGTTCCCTCCCCAGTACTCTGTAACAATTCTCGTACTTCTGATTCGTACATTTCGTGTCCTCCAAATCATCGTATATTGCAACAAATGTATGCTGACATTTGATCTCAAGTATTGGCGGAAAAGGGGAAAAACTTGTCAAGAGTTTCCACCAACGTGCCGTTCGTGTCTACATGGTAAGAACGGTTCCCGATTTCCTTCGGGAAGCAGAATTTAATCATTTCAAAAAATCCAGACATCACAGGTGCCATTTTTCAAAAAGCTATACATAGACCGGATTCTTTTCCCACAAATGGCCAAGGCAAACACCGCGCTTGCGGACTATGCGCGTTCATACACTGTACAACGTGCCCATCAACATCGCGAGGAGACTAACAGGATCGATAAAACGGAGATATATTCCCATGTCAAGTTAAGCAACAATAACACCAGCTCTGATATCATGCATCATTTGCTCAATGCTCACGATGAAGAGACAACCTCGGTATACAGCGACAACGAGCTCCTCGGTGAAGCGATTCTCCTCATGATGGCTGGTTTGTTCTTACCTCGACTTTATCCCCTTCTGCTTTATTTAACTTTTCAACATAAGAGTGTCCGCACTTAGCTAACGTGATCCTTCTATTTAAACTTAGGCTCCGACACCACATCGACCACTTTGACAGCCACACTCTTTTACCTCTTCCACAACCCCCACGCTCTGCAAAGTCTCCGCTCCGAGCTTGCTCACACCTTCTCATCCAGCACCTCTATTCGCGTCCTCGATGTTGAGAATTGCAAATACCTGCGTGCATGCATTGACGAGGCGATGCGCTTGTGTCCACCTGCTCCGACGGCCCTTCCGCGTGTTGTTTGCGAGGGCGGCATCGAGGTATTGGGAATACATTTCCCAGGGGGTGTATGTTTGGGGGTACCAAATTTTGCACTATTTCGCAACGAGTTTTACTTCAAGGAGCCGCATAGGTTCATGCCCGAGAGATGGTTGGATAATGACGAGGAAAGTCTGAGCCTAGCTCGAATGGCTTTCAAACCTTTTTCGGTAGGTCCAAGACATTGCATTGGACAACGGTTAGCGATTCAGGAGATGGCGTATATTGTTGCAAAGATAGTGTATCATTTTGAGTTTGAGGTTGTGGGGACTGATAGTGAATATAAAGGATTAGGAGTGGGTGAAAATGTGGTCATGGAGCAATTCGATGTATTTACGAGTCTGGAGCGTGGACCTGAGATAAGTTTCTGGGCCAGGTGAAAGGTAATATTTTTGCAGCCTTGAAATTTAGTCGGTCTGTTCAACCTTACACAGTCAATGCGACGACATGTTATATCGCTCGTATCACCATTTCAAATTCGCGACATGATGGTTCGCCCATCGCGCACGTGAGACTGTCGACGTTCGTAGCATCAGCTTTATATATAGGCTTGCTTTATAAGTCGACAAATAATAAGTTGACCACAACTTGAGAATCATATTTAAGGTGGATTTTTAATTTGCACCTCAAATTATTGTCAGGTGACGGGGCTGGCAAGCCGTTTGTTTGCATGTCACGTGGTATGCACTACGTAAGATTGAATTGGCTCTTCGACACTTTTCCGCAAAGACATCGGTATCGTCCTATACAGGCCAGCACATATGACCTTGTCTGTACGCACAATCGCCAGCCATACGAATTGGGATAGAACCACCTGCGCATTTAAACACGCCTGAGTCCTGACTGGAAGGTCGCAACTGAAGTTCATTGATGGCTACAATTATTGTTCATTGTTATCCAAGATAATGAGACTCATTTTTCCTTTCACGATCATGCTCATCATGCCTATCTAGACTCCCGCGAAATCAAACCCTAACTTAAACCCAGGAACTAATTTCTGGAAAACGCCATTCGGATCATATTTTTTGCTAATGGCTCGCAATTTAGACAGCGAGGTACCATAACCATATGATAAAATAGGATTTTCGCCAATTCCCGCGTCGTTGAGCCACTTGAATGGATAGTACAACCCTTTAGCTTTCGTTTGCTCTTCTATCTCTGCGATTGTAGATGTTAGGAATGCCTTCACTATTTGGTCATCATTTGGATTGCTCCAGTCTACGTAAATTTCAGCAACTATCAAGTGTTAGTTATTCCATTCCGCTCATCATTTGGAACTTTTTATCGTCTTCTGAGTCCCCTGGAATCGATTGCGACTTACCCAAGAAATTACCCTTGGATGGATTGAGCGATATGGCATCACCTCCGCTAGCGACCGCTGCGTGCTGCATGGCTACTGTCATTGGCTCTAATGCAAATCCAACTGTGCAATTGACCTGGGAAAGTTGCAATTTCGCATTACCAACGACTACGTTGTAAACGAGCTCCGACGTTTCATTGCTGAATAGGATGGATGTATCGTACCAGCTCCATCTGAGTATCATGGATTAATTTCGTTCAAGTACAATTTTGATGGTCGATAGTCTTACCGGTTGACCAAAGAGGCGAAAAATTCAGTCTGGCTCACAATAGCACTGAAATTCATGATGCCAACTTCGCTAGAAACCGTTGGTATAGCTGTGAAATTCTCGAAAGCTTTGGGACTTGGATCATTCCCATTGTAAAAGTAAACGGTTCCAGAGCTCTCAGCACCGGTCATTGGGTTGTAGCTGAAATCGGGCATCAAGTTTCCATTTGCGTCATCGATACCCCCACCTGGGGCTATATAAGCAGTGTAGGCATCTAGGTATTGCTGAGTAGCTTCTGCTCCCCATTGAACGCTACCACCACTGCAATAAAGAAAGTATCAGTCTCTTATCTGGGATGGATATTATGTCAAAAGTTATCAGAGCATCTTACTGCGAACATCGGTTTATGAGAAATAGTAAAATCACAACTTACAATACGAGTCCGCTCTCATATGTTTTGAGGTCATAACGAGTGACGACCCCAAAATTATTGGAACCACCTTTGAGCGCCCAAAAGAGATCTGGGTAAGTAGCATCATTAACTTGTAGAATAGTTCCATTTGCTGTCACCAATTCAAAGTTAACAACATTGTTAGCAGCCCATCCGTAAAGAGAAGCATGGTAGCTAAGGCCGCCTCCTAAAACTAAGGAGCTGCCAACTGGAGCGACACGGCCACCCACAGCGATCAAGCCGTATGGTTCCAAAAACTCATAGATGTCCGACCAGCGAAAGGCAGCCCCGGCTCTTAGATATGGTACACCATAGTCATTCGGTAGTGGAACAAGTGTCTTTTCCGTGAAACTTGTTGTCGCGATCATAACCCCATAATCAGTAGATGCGATGCCGGCCACTGCCGCATGGCCACCACTCCGAATGGCAAATGAAGTATTGGTCCGGGCAAGAATCTTAACACCAGTGGCAAGATCACCCGAAGTTAAGGGTGAGAAGACGCAATAGGGACTGAGCCATGCTATCTTTGAGAAAAAGGCTATATCCAGGTTTTTGTCAGCACTTATCTTATCTAAAAGTGAACTGGGTATTCATTGACAATTCTTGGAGGCATGATGTTGGGGGAGCGTTTTTTCGTTCGACATACACTGTGTTTCTGTAGTGTAATTCACTGTTCCCGGATCATACACTTGACCTGGCAAAGCAGCTGCCAGTTGTACACATGAGTTTGTAGAGGTATTTGATTTGATAGGTGTCGAGGTACCGCAAGCTGTTACAATCAGGCTTCCACATAGGATAAATTCGAATAACATGACTTCAAACAATGGTAAGGTTTCATTCAGTATGCATATTACATGTTAGGAAGGGAAGATACTTACTTGAATGAAAGCGACCCCCCCCGCCCCAGTAAGCAAGGCTTTCTCACATCATAGTTCGGTGTTGCGAAAATTGGTTAACAATCAATGGGCACCTAGGTATGGTTACATCTATCTTCAATGTTTACCGAGAACTGTCGAGATATTAGCTGGAGATCAGTCAGGGCGTTCGCTTATGCAGTCAGAGTCATCGCTTATGCAGTCAGGCTGTCATGTCAGATCACCCCGGATGTAAGCTTGATGCGGTCAGGCGGCATGAAATGATCATGGTATATGACGTATCCCGAATGGACTCGGATCGAATACTTGCCGGCCTGTAACGGTCCGAAGTAATGGAATTAGTTGATCTGACAGCCTGATAAAGCTTCGCCTTCCGATTCCATCATCAATGTCATCTTTTAGTCTAGAAAGACTTCATTGAACCTCCCGTCTATCATGCAAATAGCCATCTTATTCAGAATTCTTGGTCGGCATCAAGAGCACAAAGTCATATTTTTGTCATCTCAGCTGAACACACAAACCACTTTCAGGATGTTCCATGATTAGGATGAGGCTTTTGGCTGTAATCCTTCAGATACGCGGGCTGCCATGGCTCGCAATCAAAATAACTTGACATTAAGACTCATGTTAGAGCATTACTTCACATTATCGTAGTGGCTGACATTAGCTTTCTCATACTTACGAGGATATGTATTGTATTAATACAAATCTACGTCAGCAAAGAATTATCTACCTAGCCCAATCATACTGAAGGCGTATTTTGATACTGCTTGAGTCCGGCGGACTACAAGCCAAGCGCTCCATATCTCAGAGGTGTATCAATGGTTGCCTACTCCAGAGCTTCAAACGCTCTCAGGCATGTGTATTCCAAGATTTCAACATGTTTCTAGTGGGATTCAGTGTCGACAATATGGTTACTACCACTAGCTAGTGAGATACAACCTTGTAATTATCATTGAATCATCTATACTATAATACACTTGGTATACTGAAAATAATACTCTCGACACCGCTCGAGATTATGCAATGACTTGAACTAAGGACTAAGAACTAATAATCCTTCGAAAATCCTTCACAAACTTTCTTTGGCTAGGTCAATCAGTATTTCAACTATACCGTGTACTTGGCAAGAATCTGTGCCGTCTGTTCGTTTGTATCTTGTGAGTCTTGGGATAGAGTTTGACAATTTAAAAGAGTCCAGCTTCCTGCTTGTTTCAGCATCAATTTCTGTATCTAAACGTGCTTGAATTTCCCGTAAGCTTGATATTCCAACTTGCAATCTTCATAATCCGACGCATTCATGATTCAATTAAGAATGTCCCGTTTATCCACACTTGTACTTTTGTCAATATCAACAATCGGGAGGGCAACCCTACCTGCTACCCTTCCAGCATCCCAATATGGGACACTCCAATTCCAACAAAATGCAAACGTCACGCGCGTCACTTTTGACCATCCTCCGATAAACCTCTGCGATAAATTCCTCATCTCGGACTTGTTTGACTTTCTCGAGTCCCTACAGCCATCTAATCGTACTACCCCTCCTCCCAAAGTCGTTGTATTCGACAGTGCCAACCCCGATTATTTCTTGGGTCATATCGACGTCACCTCCATTCAGCAACCTCTCACAACCGAAAAGGAAACTTTTACCCTGCAGTACATCGCAGTTGCAAATCTATTCAACAGCATAACTTCCACAATATTCATCGCGGAGATGAACGGTCGGGCATTTGGGGCCGGGCAAGAGCTGACCGTTCAAATGGACATGCGTTTCGCTGGGCCCAATGCCCGTGCCGGTTCTTTTGAGAATGCTCTTGGACTTGTTGCCGGTGGTGGTGGCCAGCTTTTTCTAGGAACACTCATGAACCGCGGCCTTGCACTTGAATATCTCCTTGGAGCCAAAACGTTTGATGGTCCAACCGGCAAGGCTCTAGGTCTTTTCAACAACTATTACGATACTGCGGAGGAATTGCGCAGTGAAGTAGATTCGCTCACAGCCCGCATCGGGAGGTTCCCGGCCGCCGGTCTCAATGAAACGAAATCAGCGCTTAGTTTTCGCAATCCGACATTAGATCAACTGAATACCGATGTAATCGGATTCTATGATTTGGATCCATTAGCGGCGGAACAGGAAAATGTGGCCAAGTTCTTGGTTTTGAGTAAGAATCAAACAAATACGACTTTTGAGTTGGGCTTAACAGACTCGGCTTTGGCTTTAGATACGTAATCTGAGTGCAGATTCATCAAATTGAATGTGATATGAATGAGGGATCTGGCCAATATTTATCCCTAGGTTGTATTGTTAGCTTCAAATAAATACCAAATATATAACTCTGGTAGCAGAACTGATGTTGACTGTACAATCCGTAAACACCAATCATGTACCGATCTCCTATCTATTCAATTGGTTCAGTCACTGGGAGTCCTACCCATTAATTACTCGATTATTTGAGATAGCTGGGTTGACAGTGTTCCATATTTTTTCCAATCCCAAGAATGAATCTCTCAAAAAGTTTCGATAGAATGGTATTTCTTGCCGTAAAACCCTTATTTCCTATATGTTGCACTATATTGATTACTCTTTGTGGTTAAATGTAGACTTTATGTGTGTAACGTTGTTACTATCTAAATACTATCCGCCACTCGGCTCATATGCAACAGTGTGATTTAGGCAGATTGGAAACTTCTGCAAGCAATGAGCCGCCTTGCTAGATATTTGCATCACACGACACGGCTTGTTCTCCTTGCAATCCAATTTGGAATTATCACTGCCAATGCAAACTTCCCCCCGACCCAAGACTTGTTATATTCAAGTTAATTGATCCTCAGTTACAAAGGGCTGATACCCATTGAAGTACCCTTCTGGATCGAGCTCTTTCTTCAAAGCACGCAATTTTTCCAGCCGCCAAGGTTCGTATCCATAAAGAGCTTCGGGTGGATCTTTGGATCCGTGTCCATAATTCACATACTGGTGTAAACGAGAAAAGCCCGACGTTTCGATGAAAGCATCCTGTTGTTCAGAGAGCCAGGTATCGAAGGTTTCGGCATTTTCTGGTGTTTTGGAAGCGATCTCCATCATTCTATACAAATTTTCAGCGATTGTAAGATATGAAATGTCAAGGATCAGAATATGAATTCTTGACATTTAAAAAGTGGTGACAGAAACGGGCAGTGAATTGTTCAGATTAAACCACTTACAGAAAATGATCTGCCCCGTGTCGCCACGGAAAAGCAGTTCTATCAGAATTATATCTTCTCACGCCTTGTTGCGCAAATGATTCAAACATAAAACTGACCATTGCTTGTCCGTCATATTTAGCATTCATGTCATTCCATCCGTCCAGGAAAGAACGCATAGTAGCGATATCATACTTCTTAACATTTGCAGCGTAGAAATTCTTGATGGGAAAGCGAGCCCATCCTTCAGGAGTGCATAGAATGTTATTCAAACCATTGTAGGTTGCCCAAGGAAGAGCATCCCAGGTGGCGACCGTTTCGTCGCGCCACACGGGGGAGAGACTAGCAAAACGCTCAACGTAACTTTTAGCGTCTACGTCGGGACCAGACCACACGAGGTTCACGTTTATGGTAGACTATTAAGATCAGTATTAAAAATAGTCATAGTGTTGCTAAGGCGTAGAATAAACCTCAGAGGGATGACGGCGGAAACAAAACTCACACCACCAGTCGGGCTATGACCACGTTTACGGCCAATAACGAAGACAGCAAGCTCCTTAGGCATCGGATTGGAAACCTCATTCAAGGCCTCAAAAACGTCTTCGAGGGATTTGAGTTCGAACTCAAAATCTACCACATAGTGCTTTCCATCGTTGTGCTGCGGATATACTTGGAAGGTAGCTTCGAGAGCAATGCCGAAGTTGTGACCAGCACCCCGAACAGCCCAAAATACATCTGTGTTCTCGCCCTCTGAGGCCTGAATAATAGTACCATTGGCAAGTAGAAGGCGAACTGAAACCATGTTATCATTGAGATAACCATACTTCCCTATCAGAATTAGTGAGTTATATGACCTCAAATTAAGAAATTAACATCAATACCTTGTAGTCGACCGATGCCTGCGCCAAGAGATATTCCCATGAGTCCTGTGCATGGACACGATCCAACAGCTATACCATGTATTAATATGAAAACAGATGTATCAGAAGGGTATAACTCACTGACTTCCATGCCACGCGCGTAGGTAGCATTTGCCATTTGTCCTGTTTGTACTCCACCACCAGCTGTGATTTGCTGCTTTTCGGAATCAAATGTGATGCTATTTAGTCCTCGCAAATCGATAACGATGCCATTTTTGACTCTTCGTAGAGACGTAGTGAGAGAGTGACCCCCAACTCGGGCAGCGAAGGGTATGCCCCTCAATCTAGCATAATTAACCTGTAAGAGCGTGAGCAAAATATGGCACAATTGTTCAGAATTTCTCACCGTTTCTACCACATCTGCCTCTTCGAAAACTTTGACCGCAGCAATATACGTAGGCCGTTGGTAATTCGAATATCGTACATTCGCGTGCACAAAATCTTCGTCTGAGTCTATCAAAACTTCGGCGGTCGGAGACAGTCTGTTTTTGAGCTCTTTTTGGATAGACTTCTTCAGATAAACAAGATCTAGAGCTTCGTCTCCTGTGTTTGTCCAAATTAAAGGAGATTGAACTCCATCATTGGGGAGAGGAATGCTGGCAGTCGCATTCAGATTCTTCTCTTCGTGTGCAGTACACCCCGCACTGAACCATAAAATAAATAAAGAAAATTTGAGTACTAAAAAGCGTGTATAGATCATCTTGCTCGTGAAAATCGTCAAATCCTTGCTAAGGTTTGTTAGACGAATTGATAGCAAAATGAAGAGTGCTGGAAGAGATCAGAAGAAGAGAACAAAATATTGAAATGGGATCATACCATGAAGTTCCTCACATACCTTCCTCAGGATAACTGCAAATGCCAACGTTATTTTTCTTGTTTCGGACAAAAGGATATTGCGTCCATGAGAGATTCTTACTTGCAGACCTTCCCTGCCGTGTAGGATTTTCTGACATGTATGCAGTCAGACACTCCCCCCCCAAATTATTTCTGGACATCCGTGGACGAGAGTGAATCATTTCAGTACAATTGCCTCCACGACGTTACATTCGATAAAGAAAACCCCCTCATTTCTAAGTGTGGTATAAACAGTTTGCTATTTTCATATCATGTAAAGATGGAGATAGAAGCTTCGAAAATCATTGGTGCTGCGATCTCACGAGGAAAATCTAGGTATAGTTTAGCACACTTGAATCAGTTTCGAATACAGTTGAAGCTCTCTCTCCGGTTATTGGTCAAGATGTTAAAAAAAATTCGATCGAATATCATGATCAGTAGTGTTGCATTAAGTTCACGAACCATCGGCTAAATTCGAACTCCTTCAGCAAGGGGCTGATTCGCCTTAATGGCAGCAGCACTGGCGACTATCTGCATGCAGTCACCCCTTCATTGAGGCTTTGAAGATCATCATGATGGTGAGCCGTTTCCTTAGACCGAAGATTACATGTATCGTAAAAAAGATGATCAGTAGTTACATCATCAAGTTGTAAACAAGAGTTGCGATACTCTCCGTGCGAAACTTCTGTTATTAAAACAAAAAAGTGCTCCCTCACAACAGTGAGACTTCACTAGAATTTCATAAATTTCTCGTGTGAAATCCTAGTTGAAAAAATTTCCGTTTCAACACCACAACACAAAAAAACATATTCAAGATGGGATCCTTACCAATCGATTTTAACCTCTCACCTGAGGCGTGTGAGCCGATAGCTATCATTGGAATGAGTACTATACACTATCCCCAATGCTTAAGCTTTGCTAACCACGTGAAGGTTGTCGATGGCCCGGCGATTCTGAGTCTCCATCCGAGCTTTGGGATTTCTTGCAAGCCAAAAGAACTGCATACAGTGCTTTTCCCGAAGATAGAATCAAGACCAAGTCCTTCTACCATGCAAATGGTAACCGACCTGGATCTTTCTACACAGAGGGAGGCGCATTCCTCAAATCTGATGTCCGCAACTTTGATCATACATTCTTTGGAATACATCCCAGGGAGGTGATGAGTATGGATCCTGCGCAAAGAAAATTTATGGAAGTTGTCTACGAAGCCTTCGAGTCTGGAGGAGTTCCAATGCATAAATTGGCCGGTTCAAAAACTGGCTGTTTCGTCGGAAACTTCAATTATGATCACCAGCTCATGCAATATCGTGACCCCGAGTACCCGCAGCCATATTCAGTGACTGGTGGCGGGATTACGGTTTTGAGTAACCGCGTCAACTATATTTTTGATCTGAAGGGACCGAGCATGACACTCGACACAGCTTGCTCTAGCTCAATGTATGCTTTACATTTAGCCTGTTCTTCAATTCAAACAGGGGAGTGTACTGCTGCTGTTGTTGGGGGATCAAACTTAATCCTGACCCCAGAATGCCAATTGTTTTCTTCGGTACTTGGAGCTGTCTCACCAACATCTGTTTGCCATACATTTGATGCTGCAGGTAAGAATCCCAGTCACTCGTCATACCATTCACTCAACATGTAACTAAATTTCCTTAGCCGACGGATATGCCCGTGCTGATGAATTGGTGCTTTATACATCAAAAGTCTGGCTCAGGCAGTGAAGGACGGGGATCCAATTCGAGCTGTTATTCGTGGCACAGCTATCAACGCGTGAGAATCTTCACTCCTTCACAACCATACGCGTAGAGCTAAAGAGTAACATAGAAATGGGAGAACTGGTGGAATTACACATCCAAGCCCCGATGGTCAAGAAGCAGTGATTCGTAGAGCATATGAACGTGCCGGTGGTTTAGACCCTGCACTTACCGGGTATATATATTTCCCGTATCTACATATTGTTTTTCGATACATCAACTCATCACCTGATAGATATTTCGAATGCCACGGTACTGGAACTGCAGTTGGCGATCCATTGGAGATATCGGCAATCGGCCGCGTCTTTGCAAAGTCAAAATCAAGAGATTCACCTCTTTTGATAGGATCTGTATGTCTTCACAGACACTCTTCACGTATGTGTGACTATGATGCTGAACCCCTCAGATAAAATCAAACATGGGCCATAGTGAGCCATCGAGTGGTATCGCAGGTGTCATGAAAGCTGTAATCGCGATAGAGCATGGAGTTATTCCACCAACCGTTGGCCTGAAGACTCTCAATCCTAATAGCAAGTTAATCGCAAACCCAGCCTTTTTAGCTCTAACTGACGCTTGAATAGTTGATTTGAAGGATGGTAGGCTTAAAATTGTAACGGAAAGTACACCATGGCCCGATTTACCAGTTCGAAGAGCGAGTATCAATTCATTTGGGTATGGGGGAGCAAATGCTCACGCGAGTATGTATAAATCAAGGATCCCGATTCATACCAAATCGTATTGCAATCTAATGGCAAAACAGTTATTGAGTCCGTCGATTCTGTACTTCCCTGGTACCGAGAATCACGACAGATTCATGCAGACAAGGTTGACTCCCAAGTACATCGAAACGGAGTTAAAAATGGCGACGAAAAGTTGACTCACATGCATCGAAACAAGTTTCTTCTTCCGTTCTCAGCCCATGACGAGAGAACTCTCGCAGCAAATATTTCTGCTCTCAACAATAACATCTCAGATTGGAATCTGAATGACATAGCATACACGCTCAGTGAGCGACGCTCACTTTTCTCTCATCGCACCTTTCAGATCGCTAGTTCTGGTACCGACCATCAGATTGCGGAACTTGTACACACACCTAAGAAGATTTCTTCAAACCCTCCAACTCTTGGTTTCGTCTTCACAGGTAGTTATTCATACTGAAAAAATCCAGAATAGTCTAACATCATCCAGGTCAAGGTGCGCAGTGGCCCGAAATGGGCGTAACTTTGATGCAGGAGTTTCCTATTTACCAAAACACCATCCGAATCTTAGATGCGTATCTGGACGAGTTACAGGACGGTAGAAGCTGGACCATTGAGGGTATTTGCGGAACACTTCGTGAAACTGGAAGCTGCTAATTGTTACAGATACTCTTCGGCAACCAAAAGATAAATCCCATATACATGATGCAGAGCTATCTCAACCTCTTGTCACTGCCACTCAGATAGCTTTGGTTAATCTTCTAGCTGACTGGGGTATTAAGCCGTCGGCGGTTGTTGGCCACTCTTCTGGTATACAGCTTACATCCCAATTATTTGCTTGACTGCTAATTAATTACAGGTGAGATTGCTGCTAGCTATGCAGCGGGTTTGATCACAGAGAGGAATGCAATTATTGCGGCGTATCTCCGTGGTAAAAGTGTGGCTAAAAACAAGGAAGACGGGCTTATGATGGCGGTGGGACTTGGAGCTGCAGAAGTCCGCGCATACATTGGCCAGAATGAGGGCAAAGTTATCGTTGCATGCCACAACTCTCCAGAAAGTGTTACACTCAGTGGCGACAAAACTGCGCTACTTTCTGTCAAAGAAGCCCTCGATGGGGATAAGAAGTTTGCAAGACTACTTTCGACCGGTGGTAATGCGTACCACTCCCACCATATGAAGCCTCTTGGTATGATTGTCCTGTTCTTCTTTCTACTCTCGTAAAGGATTGGGCGGATTTGACCCTGCCTGTATTTCATTGCAATCTCAACTTGATACCTTTTTTCTTCGCCAATTGTTGACTTTATCCACTTTCGCAGGCCCAGAATACGAAACCAGTATTGAAAAATACGAAGAACCGAGCTACCCGAAAGTTATCAAAGCTCAGCCTTCGAAAGAACCAGCTCCAAAGCCAGCAGCCTTCTTCTCCAGCGTGTACGGTCGTGCACTAGACGAAGGTGCCAACATAGATGGTTCATACTGGAGAAAAAACATGGAGTCGCCAGTGTTGTTCGCCGAAGCTGTTGCAGCTTTAGTCACATCGGCGCCAGTTGATATTCTCGTTGAAATAGGGCCACACAGTGCACTTCAAGGCCCGCTCCGACAGATTTCAAAGAACCATTCTGGCAGATTTCCCGAATACCTGACGGCTATTGTACGGAACAACGATAACGCATCTGATGTTCTTACCTTGGCTGGAATGCTGTTTACAAAAGGTCACAAGGTGAACTTAACGCGTGTCAACGAGAGTAAGTGTCCGGTTGATGATTGTGGGCAGGTCTGTAAGATAATTACCGACCTCCCACACTACCAATGGCAGTATTCGGATGTGTTACTCCTTGAGAATCGTTACACGCGCGAGTGGCGCCAAAGGCAACATCCGCGACACGACATTCTGGGAAGCCGAATTCCGGGAGGCGTAAAAGACGCACCGACATGGAGAAATATTCTGAGGAACAAAGACCTTCCGTGGCTAACGGATCATCGAGTAAGTCCACCCCTGCCCTTGAAAGCCTTCAACTTGAATTGACAAAATGTCGTAAGGTTGGCCAAGAGATAGTTTTCCCATCCACAGGCTACCTTGCGATGGCCATCGAAGCAGCAACCCAGGCGGTAGAAGTCAATGGTGGTTTAGAAGAAGAAATATCATCCTACGAAATTCAGGATGTCAGTTTGCAAAAGGCATTGGTGATCCCCGAAGAGGACGGAGGCATCGAGATCCTTTTCACATTGCGAAAGGCTAGCTTGAATACCAACAGTGATTACGATTCAAGGTTTGAATTCCTTCTTACTTCGGTAGATAGTGTGAATGGAGAAGACAACTTTGTCGAACATTGTCGGGGTACTGTTCATGTCAATTTCAAACCTGATGGTAAGTTTTCATTTGATTGGCTCGGCGATTAATCCATTTGTATCCCAGAAGACTGATAAAACACTAGTTCCCACGGCGAGTTCATTGTTGCAGGAGATAGATAGTTCAAGACGAGATTTAAAGGACATACCAAGCCTCCCTTGGTATGAAAAATTTGCCTCCATCGGGTTGATTTATGGTCCAACGTTTCAGGGTCTTTCTTCCATAAAAGGGGTAGATCAAAAGAGACTCGCCGGGGCGAAGATCCCGTTGAAGCCGACAGCAAAACTAATCGCGGGAGAGTCTCGTTATGTAATCCACCCTGCAGCTTTCGATGCAGCAATGCAACTCTCTATTGTAGCTTCACATTCAAGCACTGCTACCAAATTCAAGAAGGCGGTTATGCCTGTCAGCATCGGCAGCATCAAAATTTGGCCAAAAGTAGCCAAGTCCACAAAAGCCTCTGCACATTGTGTCGCTAGAGGTGCATTGAAAGGGGTACGAGGGTTGGTGGCGGATTTGATACTGCTTGGCGACACACAAAGCAAGATCCTTGAAGCCAAAGATATCCTCCTCATTGCATCAGATCAGAGCTCTTTGATATCTAGCAAAAAGGACAGTCCTTATCTGCGATTAACTTGGAAACCACTATTTGAAGAGCTTGATGATGATCTTGTATCGAGACTTTTCCCACCAATCACGTTAGATGACAGTGCAGTGCTGCCATCTCTAAATCTTTTAGCGCTGTATCAACTTATACAGTTTCGGGAAACACACCAGGAGATATTCGCCAAAGGATCAGAGGTTCCGCATCTACAACGCATGCTCGAATGGACGGTTGAGCAATTAGATCGTATGCGCAATGATCCTCTGTCGCCTGCAAACCAGATCTCCAACCTCACAAATGAACAGCGGGCAGAGAAAATTGAGAAAATTGCAGCAGACCTAAAACCAAAATCATCTGAATGTCGGCTCATGTGTCATCTCTACAACAATCTTTCAGACATATACGCAGGCCGAAAGACTGGAATTCAGGTCGCATTACAAGACAACTTGCTGATAGACAACTACGAGAGCGGCCAAGTTTACAAGGAAGGGAATAAGCGATTGGCTTCTATGGCCGCACTATATGCCCATCAACAACCTAACTTGAAGATCTTGGAAGTTGGAGCAGGCACCGGTAGTGCTACGCGAGAGATTCTTCCTGCGCTGAAAGGCAATACAGTATGGCGACAGTATGCAGAATATCGATTTACAGATACGACAACTTCCTTTCTAGCTGGTGCAGAAGATACTTTCAAAGGCTTTGCTGGAATGACATTCGGTGCCTTTGATATGGAGAGGCCCGCGAATGAGCAGGGATATCAGCCGGAGTGGGATCTGATTGTTGCATCGAATGTTATCCACGCAACCTCAAACATCAAAAGAACTCTCGAAAACATTCGCAGCGCATTGAAGCCAGGGGGAAAGATTATTCTGCTTGAGTTGACAAGATCAAATTTGAGTGCCGGTTTGGTCCTTGGAACCTTTTCGGATTTCTGGAAGGGTGATCTTGATACAGAGTTCCCGCGACGCAACGGACCATTCCTAAGCAAGACTATGTGGCGTGCAGTTTTACCAGAAGCGGGATTCAAGGGACTTGATTTCCATTTGGATGATTACGCAGGTGATCATATTTCTGCAACAGTTATTTGTGCAACTGCTGCCCAGCCGTCTCTTGCACCAAATCCAGATTTGCCATCGTCGCAACCAGGGATAACATTGGTATGTTTTGATATCACTTTGAGTGCGTACATCTATGCCACGATATTTGCTAATTCCACTATAAGATTTATCGCAGCACTCCATCTGCCTATACTCTTGCCCTCAAAACCTGCATTGAACAGAAAGGCATGCCCGCAGAACTCTTAGAATTGTCGGAAAGCAAACAACTTCGATACAAGCGGCTATTATTCGTTGTTGAACTCGAAAGGCCTTTGTTCCTGGAAACCAATGCTTCTGAATGGAGAGGTCTTCAAAACTATTTCGAACAGGCTAGTTCCGTCCTATGGGTGACAAGCGGAAATCTTCTAGAGGGCAAAAATCCTGAATTTGCAATGATTTCCGGACTTGCCCGTGGACTCAAGGTTGAAAATGCCAGTCTTAATTTAGCCATGCTTGATGTTGATCATGCACTCGATCCAACCGAGAGCAAAGACCTTGATTTGCTCCTGAGCCATGAGGACAAAATATCGAATAAGGCAGACTTACACAGTGACGTAGAGTTTAGACAAAAGAACGGCATCGTTTACATCAGTCGTGTAGTTCCGGATGAAGCTTTGAACGAAGAATCAAAGGTCAAAGGGAGTCAGCAAACTTCCACACAAGAGGTTCAGATTGCAGATATGAGATCCACCCCTCTGAAGTTGGCCATTGACAAACCTGGAGTCTTGAGCACAATCCACTTTCAAGAAGATCCAGACTTCACAGAGTCTCTTGCCGATGATTGCGTTGAGATAGAAGTCGCTTATGCTGGCATCAACAACAAAGATATAGCTGTTGTTACAGGCCGGCATCACTCCAATACTTTTAGTGACGAATGTGCCGGTGTTATAACCAAGATTGGGGCTTCTGTAAAAGATCTGAAGCCTGGAGATCGAGTCTATTGTCAATCGTTTGCGAAGTTTGGGAACTTTGTTAGAGACAAAGCTTGCTTCTGTAAAAAGCTCCAACCCGAAGATACATTCGAAAGTGCATCGACTTTGCCTATCGCGTTCTGCACTGCTATATACGGGCTCATCGATCTCGGAAGATTGCGATCGGGCGAATCTGTACTGATTCAATCCGCAACCGGAGCAGTTGGCCTGGCAGCTATCCAAATCGCCAGATTGTGTGGAGCTGAGATTTATGCCACTGTCGGAACAAAGGAGAAGAAAGAACAGCTCCTTAAAATGGGCTACGGGATCACAGAAGATCACATCTTCTGGTCGCGCGATGCCGATTCAGCGCAAAGTCTCTGGGATTACACCAAAGGGAAAGGAATAGATGTGATATTATGTAGTGCTCGGGGAGAGATGATGCATGATTATTGGCGTTGTATAGCACCTATGGGACGGTTTGTTGAGATTGGGCGAACGGAGGTTTTAGAAAAGGGGAAGCTCAACTTGGATGTCTTTCAACGAACTGCTACATTCGCTTCTTTCGATCTGGAGGTAATGAGTAGCTTGAGGCCAAAGGTCATTGGCGAGTAAGTACACCCTTATACCATTCAAAACGAGGTAACTTAACGAGGCTAATTTATTTAAGCCTAATGACTAGCTTAGACCATTTCAAGCGTGTTGGTTTGATTCGACCCCTACCATACACAGCGTACCATGTCTCAGAAATTGACAAAGCTCTCATGACTTTTGGCAAAGGTGCCCATATTGGGAAGATTGTTGTCGGGTATGAACAGAAGAGTAGCATTGGACTCAAGGTAATATTCCCATGCGACGCTGAACAGAAATAGCATCTAGTGCTAACATATCACAAGGTACGATTGAGTCCTTTCAAATCGAAATTTGATCCAAATGCAGCTTATCTGTTAGTTGGCTGTCTGGGAGGTCTGGGCCGTTCGTTCAGCAGATGGGCTGTCGATCGAGGTGCTCGAAACCTGATTTATCTCTCTCGCAGTGGAAACTCAAACAAGAACACGGAAACTTTTCTCAGCCAGCTTCGACTTCAAGGCGTCAATACTCAAATCGTCCAGGGTGATGTTGCATCGTTAGCGGATGTCAAATCGGCAGTCAGCAGTACTGATCTACCAATCAAGGGTGTCATACAAGGAGCTTTAACACTTCATGTAAGCCTTGACTATCTTCACTGCTATGCGTGGTAAATCCGATCGCTAATATTTTTGACAGGACGGACTTTTCAGTTCCATGACCCTTGATCAATTCGAGTCCACAGTACGCCCTCGAGTAATTGGCACACTGAATCTTCACGAGGCCCTGAAAGATTCGCCGTTGGACTTCTTTCAGATGTGGAGTTCATGGACAGTGATGTTTGGCACAGCAACACAGAGCAACTACCTCTCTTCCAATGCTTTCATGGATGCATTTGCCCGTTACAGACAAAGCCTGGGATTGCCTGCTACTTCCTTATCGCTTAGCCAAGTTCTTGGGATCGGAATCGTCAGTTATATGCCCGAGTAAGTAGACATGAAAAAGTCAATCATATTTCCATCTCTGACGACGTGCACAATTAGATACCAGCAAGCTATGATACGCAACGGCTTTTATGGTAACGACGAGGATGAATTCTTGCAATATTGCGATGCTGGAATCGGTCCTGCTTCGCAAACAACAGCGTACGAATTTGATCCCCTAGCTCAAGGGCATCTTCTTGTGGGAATTGAACCTGCAGGGCTACAAGAGATCAATGAAAAGTATCCCATCGACGACATGCCTTGGTCACTTGATCCACGATTTCGCAACTTGGTCCAAGCTACGCATATGCTTTCGGGTGTTACGACATTGGGCAAGGAGACTGGAGATCCATCGGAAGGTTTGAGTATCGTTGAACGCATCCGACACAAGATTTCGAGGCTTCTATACGTGGATCTCGATGAAGTCGACACTGAGACACCAATTAATAAATATGGAATCGATAGTATGATAGCGGCCGAGATTCGAAATTGGCTGTTCACGAAGTTTGGCAAGGATGTTTCTCTCTTGACGATGCTTGGAGCAACGACAACGGTGACAACGCTGGCAGAAGTTGTCTCCAAACGATAGAAGCATGAGAGATGGATGGATCAAGAGGATGTTGTGAATAGAAATAGGATTGGGTTCATTTTATGTGGAACAATCAATGTGAGACTGGAATGTGAAATGAATGTGAGTTGAGTTGAGTAAATGCATCCGTATACGTACCTAGTACCTGCAAGAAGAGATCGAAAGCAAACCAAGCCAGTCCAATCAATCTCTGATGTATTGATGGTCATGTGATATCCAGACTCGAACCTCGGCCTCTCGAGTGCCTCCTTTATCAGGCAACAATGACCTATTCGCAGGTGAATGCCTGATTCTCAAAAAACTTTAATTGACTTTCCCAGGTTCATCATCAATCTTGTCTTGTCTTCTTGTCGTCTCGGTTCCTTTAAGCTTGCTTCTTCTATTCTATTTCCTTACCACCCAAATCTACTTAATAATTTATCTTCTTCCTCGACCTCTCCATCGCACTTACAATATCAGGATTGATATTTTCACCTACTTGAACGCATACTAGATATCAGAATCGATATCGGTCAGCTCTTGAGTAGTGAAGAAAATCTTATTTGATTGGCCTTCCTCGTCATCTTTCTCAATTAACAAAATGTCTCGTGGTGGTACAACACTCTATGTCACCGTATGCGCTCCACCTCCACAACCTCCACACACCAACTTATATGTTTATATTAAAGCTTCAAAGTGTATACTAACCAACATCTCTCATCTAGGGCTTCGGAGCTGGAATCCGTGCTCGCGATCTTGCCTACGAATTCGAACGGTATGTCAGCTAAAAAATCGATATCTCGATGATTGTCCTTGATCGCGATAATCCATTTCCCCATCATCGTCCATCCTCGTCCCTTACTCCGTCGAGACTTCGCCGTCAATTTTGTCGCATACATTATCCCCTCTTCCCAAATCCTCCACGTTCGATCGAGCGGTCGCACAACGATACGAACAGTTTACATTCCTACATTTGTCTCGCGAGAAAAGTTCGAATTGCGGCGGATCGATTACTATTTATTATACAAATCTTATACATCTCTTACTTTCATCCATATATCTGTCCAATGTATTCCCCATTCGATGATACACTGAGTCTAACGATATCTTCATAGCTATGGCCGTTTGGTCCGCTGTGATATCCCAGCTCCTCGAACTGCAGCATCTCGTCTGTGAGTATGCCCGATATCTTATTGGTAACCACTCTAATATCGTTGACACCTGAAGTAGGTTTGCCTTCGTTGAGTATGAGTCCCGTCGTGATGCCGATGATGCCTACCATGAAATGCACAACAAGCGTATCGGTCGCGACGACTTGTTGAAGATTGAAGTAAGTCTTCATGACATCACCAAAAATGGCGATTTCTAATTCATGAATTAGTGGGCCCGCACACCTCCTTCGGCTTCTTGGCGATTCGATACTGGTGAAGAACGTGCAGCCCGTCGCGATGGAGGTAGAGATAGCGGCAGAGAGCGTGGTGGAGGTAGCCGCCGTTCTCCTCGTCGTCGTTCAACCTCTCCCCGACGTGGCCGTGGCGACTATTCTCCCCGTAAGGATGACCGAGACCGCCGGGACCGGGACTACGACAGAAGAGATCGCGATCGAGCCGATCGCTCACGTAGCCCAGACGATAGGTAAGCACCCTAGAAGAAATTTAGAGTTGGACATAAGCTTACCCGCCTTGTAATAGGGATCGCGAAGTTAAGGAAGAACGTGATGATGTCCGTGAACCCGGAGCCAATGGAGATGACAGGAAAGGTGAATCCACATCATTCAAACTACCATTACGACCCAATCTCTAACTCATCTGATACCCATCAGTTACCATGGATTCTCCTCCACCAGCGCATGATGAACTGGACACCGCCGAGTAAAAGGTCCTTCCTAGGTTGAGGCTTCTACACGGCAGGAAAAAGTTTATTGTGTCTTTTGGCTGCTGATATTTCCTTCTTTGCCTGAATTTACCATTGTGTTTCTAGATTCGATTCCCCGAGACCTTTACGACTCGAGCCAGGATTTGGACTGGCAACATAATCTCAACTTCCTTTTAGGTCAGCAGCAGCATACAAATGTGGTCATATGTTTTCATGGGTAGTTACTAGTATTAAAAATTCCAAATTGAGCACATAATTAACACTATATTTGATTCCATTTGTGTGTAAAAGAGAGTGATGATGTATGACCTCAATTAATAACTGTTAATGTGTTTTTTCGCAACATTATTTCGTCTAGTTGTAGAAGAATTCTATTCTATAATCCATTTATCCATTTGCTCATCATCTACTTTGTATTAAAGAAGATATATCTTCTTCAACCAAAATGATATTTCCTTCAAATAAATATATATATCATAATGACGTAATAACATAACACAACATAATATAACTCCCAGAAATACCTGCATCTATCTCATTTCATCTCATCTTATCCCATCTCATCTCTTCTCATCCTATCCCATTCTATCCCATCCCATCATATCCCATTCATTCTATAATACATACATATATACCTAGATACCTACCTATATACCTACCTATACCTACCTAGATATCTACACATATATACCTACCTAGATACCTATCTACATACCTATCTACATACACACACCACCACCATATATATACCATTATATATATATAATTAACTAATACCTAACTCTTAAATAGTTTCCCCCTTTTTCTTTTCTTCTCTTTTTCTTCTCTTCCTCTTCCTCTTCCTCTTCCTCTTCCTCTTCCTCTTCCTCTTCCTCTTCCTCTTCCTCTTCCTCTTCCTCTTCCTCTTCCTCTTCCTCTTCCTCTTCCTCTTCCTCTTCCTCTTCCTCTTCCTCTTCCTCTATCAACTTTCTCTCTCTCTTCTTGACATTCTCGTTTTCTTCATTTTCTTCATTTTCTATATCTTCCTCGAGATTTCCCCTTTTGAACTTTTGAACTTTTGAACTTTCTGAAAATCCGTCCATCCGTCCATCCGTCCATCCGTCCATCCGTCTAATATAAATCTGTCTATCCATTTATCTAATATAAATCCGTTTAATATAAATCTGAGTGAGGAGAAGAGAAGAGAAGAGAAGAGAAGAGAAGAAAACAAAAGAGTCCCGAGTACTGGGTTCGAGGGTTGAGTTTGAAGGTTGAGTTTGAGGATTGTGTAGATGGATGTTTGAATTGCTTTGCTTTGATTTGCTTTGCTTTGCATTACTTTACTTTGTATTGCATTTTGATGAGATGTGATGAAATGAAATGAGATATGAAATGAGATGTGATATAATAGAATAAGATATGAAATATCCAAACAGAATCTCCTTCTCCTTCTCCTTATCCTTCTCTATTTCCATTTTCCATCTTTCTTCTTCCATCTTTCATCATTGTGCAATAGGAGCGAGGGTTATTTTGCTTCATCTTCATCTTCATCTTCATCTTCATCTTCATCTTCATCTTTATATTTTCACATTTTTCATATCTTCATTTTCATATTTTCCTCTTACTCTTATACATAGTACTACTCTCTCTATCCCTCTCCCTTTCCCTATCCCTCTCCCTCTCCCTCTCCCTCTCACTCGGATCATTCAAGTTATTCAAGCGAGTCACGCTTCGATGACGCGAGAGAAGTTGTCCGATGAGGAAATGCGATACGTCTTCGTCGGCCCTGTTTACGTGAGTCAATTGTATGAATTTTTCCGTTTGCGCTTCGTGCGTTGTGTATTGAAAAAGAGGGGAGATGGGGAGGTGGAAAACATACCAGTATGAGAGATGGCTGGCGATGGTGTTGATTGGGTTGAAATCTAGTACGCTCCTATTTTAATACACATGGATTAGTATTTATATTCAAATTCATTTACCTTTCTGAAACCCCCCCCCCCCCCCCCCTCAAAAAACCTCAGATGAGGGTAAGCAGAATATCAGGACAAACAACAAAGAAAAAAAACCATACTCTTGAATACTAAAATCCACGCGTCCATTATTATTCAACGCTCTCACTTTCGCCTCTTCTCTCTTCAACTTCCTCGCTTTCTCTTCCAATTCCGCCCTATCAATATCAGGCATATCATGCTTCCTTCGCTTCTGAAACCCAGCATACAACGTCTCAATCTCATCATCAATCAAGGTAGGCGCGGTACCCATGCCATCCCTATCAGCGGCCGCCGTATCCTCCGCAAGTTGTCTCATCTTCTCACTAGTATTTTCTCTCTGGAGCGAAGGATGGTCTGGGACAACTCCTCCTGCGATATTGGTTCCCGCGCCCGCGGATTGCCCTTTGATACTTGATGAATTCGACGCTTGCATCCTTTCGACATCTTCGCCCGTGAGACCGAGACTGCGATTTAGGAGACTACTCGCAATGCCGGAGCTGAGACTAGACCATAATCCACTAACACTTTGTCCTACTTTTGCTCCAATGCCAGTGATACCTTGATTCATGTTTGCACCGAATATACCCTTCTTGGTATAAGGTAGTAGTTGAGGTTTCATAGATGACATTGCAGGAGCAATAAGAGGCTCAAGCCTATAACTGATTGGGTCTGTTGGGTGGAAGATATTGTATAACCGAACGCATTTAGGACTAGAAATCGAGTATGGCAATCCTGTAGTACTGGAAATGTGCTCTCCAGATGGAAAGCCCGCACCCGAGCTAGCTGCCAGAAATGGATCTTGCATAGAGTCTATATCCATTGGACTCTCGGATGGCAATGATTCTACGCGATTTCTAGCAGCAATAGTTCTTCCTTTCAACATCTGAAACAATCCTATTGGACTTCCTAGACAATAGAAATCCTCGACATCAAATTCAAATTCAAGACTCTTACCATGTGACGATGTCGATGGGGCAGACCGATTTTTGTAATGCGAAGAGCTTGCATTACGTTTCTTAGTTTCTCTCTGACGACAAAGAATATCGAATAAGATTGCCGATCCTAAAGAATGTCCTACCAGACTGACTTTTCCTGAAAACTCTGGATTTCGTTCCCGGAAAAGATTATAAATTCGATTTGCCTCGGTAAGAACAATATTGCTAATATGTTCTCTGTAAGCACTCTGGTACAGCAAAATATCAAGAGCAAGATCAGTGATGAGAGAGCGAACAAATGGTACACCCTCCACAGTAATATCATCAAGACTTGGATATTCTTCCTCCTCGCCAAATGCGTCTCCAAGATCATGCTCTTTACGATTTTGCCTGACACCTTTTCGAGGAAAGTCAAGTAAATGACGCCAGCAGATAGGAAGAACTTGAACACGGCAATTTTTAGGGAGTTTATCAATCTCCGCATTTAGTGCCTGCAAATCGGCAGAATTTTCGTACACGTTTTTGAGCGTTTGCCGAAGAACGTTTACGTCATGGACGAAATTAACACTTTCGGTTCTATTGAGAATTAGCACATAATTTGACAATCGCTCAAAACAACAAAAGACATGTACGAAATTGAGCGCAGACAAATAAGATCGAGATGCAAATTTCCCAATAATTCAATTGGTTCGAGTCATTGAATCGTCTTCTAAAGCCTGCCTCCGTTCAATGATCAAAGGCAAAATCTAGCAACTGTTTGTTCTAGGTTATTGTGGATATATTCCAAGCTCTAAAAAAGCATACAAAATAGCTCTGGAGTTGGAAACAGCCACGGCCTAGAATTATGAAAAGGGCCAATCTAGTGTAAAAAAGCAGATGAGATGTAGAAAATTATTTGAATACATACCTCATACCTAAGCGTTGACCAATGCCATGCGTCACTAGAATTAAATGCTCAATATCACGCCCTTGGTTCTCATCATCTCGATCATTATAATCATTCTGCATCTCCTTCTCATCACGTTTCCTCACAGCTTCTGCTTCTGCATCCGCATCTATAGAGTTTAGCTTGTTGTACGCTGCTTCCCGAAGCTCAGTACTATTATCTTCTGGCGAAGCATTAGCATTACTTGTGCTCGGAGGTGCAGACCGCCGTTTGATTAATTTTTGCTGACGATCGTCAAGCTGGAGGTACTCTGGAGTAGTCGAAGCAGCAGCGGCGGCGCTAGTAGGAGTTTTCGGTGTTTTATCCTTGTCGGCAGATGTCGTGTCTTTTGTTTTACCTGGTTCCGAATATCCACGAACGACCTTTATACCTCCTAGGTAACCACCGCCCGCAAACTTTTGATACACGGTGCTACTAACCCGAGACATGATGTTATCAGTTGAGATCCAGGCTACATTCCCATCTTGATAGGTAACAACAGAATTCATATATGTGCCAAACAAGCGATGGGTCTGAGGTTGGTGGGGTGGCGGCGAATCCTTTGGTATACTACCATCATCAGAAGCCAGCTGTGGCGATTTCAAATTCTCTGCCGAGCCCTTTGGAGTTACAGAGGGAGAGCCATTACGGTTTCTACTCCCAAAAGCGCCACTGCGGGCCAATGATCTGGGTTCTTCCCCTGGTTTTATAGATAATGGTCTAGCAGTACTTTTCTCCGGAGGTTTAGGATAACGGAACGGTTTTACTTTCAGATATCCTTCCTCAAGTTGCGTGGCCAGATTCTCCTCACAGGGTTTGAGAACTGCACCCTCTTGGTAGAACCAACTACCTCTGCGAACATCAAATATCGCACCAAGCCAATATACCGGCGCAAGTTCTCTCTTTTCAATATCGACATCGAATAAGAAATCCTCATGTACTGGGACCTTAATACTCCTATCAGCCTCCTCATTATTCCCAGCTTCATTGATACTCGTGTTTCCTTTCTCGCCAGCACTCCCCGAGGTTTGTTCCAAATTACCACTCTGGGCTCTCGATCGCGGATCTCTTCCATTGTCATAGTCCTCGACAAGCTTCTGATACGCAGCTTCTATTGCACGAGAATCGTGCTCGGAAAATGTGACGAATTTCTTGGGAGGAGCGGCAGGTTTAGTTTCTTCCTGATTGGCCTTGAGAATCTTGGGTTTTCTTTTGGGGATCTATATTTTGTGAGCTTGGAAATTCAATATTCTAGATGTGGATACCTACATCAACCGCATGATACCATCTTGGATTCAGCGGAGGACAATCTTGAGGGTAATTCTTAGTGCTCCATCCATGCCAATGGTTTGTGCTGTGATCTCCGCCATGTTGATTCTTTAAACCGGAACCTTCTCCAGAAAAGGTGGGCGTTGTTGCTTTAGGAGTAGTTGCTCGCGAACCTCCCCATGGTGAGATTGATTCAACCGCCGCAGACAGATATGATCTCTCTAACGGTTTTGGCTTGTTCCCAGGCGCAGACTCCATTTTCTTGTCATTGGCTCGCCGAAGGGCGTCAATTACGCCTGTAGATTTAATCCAGTTGAGCGCAGAATATGAGATTCGAAGTTGGCGGTTTTTAGGAAGATGTTTGGGTATTATTCTAACTTGGTGAAAGAGAACGTTCATGTAGTAAGCCAATGTTCGTTTCAATTATTTGAAACGCTGATAATGTACTCTGTATTATGCGGTAATTGCCGATCCGAATATATTAAATAGAAATGGGGTATTTGCACATTATGTATGTTATCATTGACATCGCTCGGACCTTAAGTAGTATAGATTTCTATATTATGAACTGTCCTTTCAACATCCCGTGGGTCAATTGATTATTGTTGATACGGCATTGTTATCGCTGGTAGTGAAGCGATACATGAAATAGCATAATAATAAGTCAAGATTGAGAAATGGACATTATGACGATACTTTTCGGCTTGTCCCGTTCATATGTTCAGGCTTTATTTGAACTTCATACCCCACTACCACTACTTGATTTAAGAGCAACATCGAACAGATGATGAGATGTAGATGCATATGAACGATGATCAAATGTTAGCTTCTTCAATTCACCAATTTTCCTCAATCTCATATATAACAGAAGTACAAGTCGATCACAAAGGTAAAACTCAGATTGCCCTTCGAGAGGGGCAAAACCCAGTAGGCGGAAAGGGAGAAGCTAGCCCTGCCCTGCTTATAACGCTGCAAGGTTCACTCTCTACCACTTTGTCCTCCAACCCCACCCCTTTACTTTGATCCTGACCCATATAAAACACAGTAGGGCAGCCACATAGCTAAGTCCGGTGAAAAGAGCGGCGCCCCAATACCTTTCTTTCCCTGTAGCCACTACCTACTACATTAAGAAGGCCCCCAGCGATAGAAATGCTTCCCAACACATCAAAACCTACTACCGTAAAACAGCTTGCGTAGTACCTATCGACCGTATTGTTGAGTTTCGCAGAGCTGACCTAGACAGATTGGTGTCAAGCTGACATTGGAACCACTGACAAATCCAAATATTAGGAAGACTTACAAAGATTACTAAGAGTGCGTTATTACTCAGGTTGAGTAGGAGCACGTCTGACAACCAAAAACATAGCACTGATATCGTGCAGAGAAATAGTGAGACAATCATAGTATTGTATCGTCCAAATCGATCGGCCAGGTCGCCCGCTATGCACCGGCCAATGCATGAAGCAGCATTAAGGATCGAAGAAGTCGATATGCAAACGCCGCTAATCCGGTCAAGGCCTCTCCTTAAGACAGATGTTGTCGCTCGATGTAATAGCTTGTCATATATGTGATAGCTATGAAATATGCCGGAGCTGTGAAACTATAGTTCAACATTCTGAAGTTATGCCCAGTTCACATGCTTTCAAGGGTATTCGAAATTCCAGAAGTTGTAGGTACATTATCTGAAGCAATCACGGAAATGGGATAATTGCGCTGAGAAAATCGGCACTTACAGTACTCCAGCAGTGGTGATAGCCATGGTGGCTCCTGTTCCATCCATAAAGATCTGTGGATCCGGTAATGTATCTCGTCAAGTAGTTGCAGCTCCTTTACGAGGTGGAACTCTACTTCGACAAAATGTCACGTTCGTGGAGCAAAGTAGGAGCAGCGCAAACCCGAGAATCCGAATCGACCATTCCCACTCAACTTGAGGGAGGAGTGACTGTATCATAAGTGGAAATAGAACGCTACCAAAAGCACCTATTCTAATATCATATCATATATACTACATACATCGCCATCATAATCATAATCATAACCACAATCACAATCACAATCATCATCCAATGCCCACCCGCAAACCCATTTCTCCAAGCCATGAATGATATCAAAGAAGGGAGAACCCCAAACACCTAACCATGCCCTAATGACAAATGCCAAATGCCAAATGCCAAATGCCAAATACCAAATACCAATTCCCCATAATCTACATAAATCCAAACATCAAACCATCTAAATAACCAAATAAAGACTACACAAAAGACTTGGTCCGGTGAAAATTCCTATCCAAAAAAGTACATTCCCCAACGTCTTCTTCCCCTTCATCCACTTCGTCTGACTCATGATCGTCAACGGAATCTGACACATTTGCAACACCAGTAGATATCCCCTCAATTTTTTAAAGATACACCACATAACCAGCTCATGAACACAGGCGCTCAGAAAGAAAGTAATAAGCGTCGCCGTCTTTTTATCAACTCTCAGACTCGAAATCGAAGAATGGTAAACGTGTCGCAGGAGGAAATTATGAACTGGTCGATTCCAATCGCGCGCGAATTGATCCCAAGATACCGAGTTCCACCAGGCTTCGTAAAAGCCTCGATCAGCGTAACAGGTTAATTCGGCGAGGAGATTGAGAATACATTCCCAAATCACATACCATGTCAGGATATATTCAGCCAGAAATGGGAAGGCCAAGTCACTGAATATACCCGGAAAATGACGGAGGCGCTCGAGAGATGTTAGATTGGATTCTTTCATCTCGATCGTTTTAACTACAATGGGATAGATGTAAGTTTGCGAGATAAGGTTCATGACGATCAAGAGACCAGCCGTCGCAATACTCTTCTCGGCTACATTATACCAATCGATATCGTCGGATCGTGGATATTCCAGTTCATAAACCAAAGTTGGAAGAACGATGTACTCGTAATGATTGACTAAACTGAGATTATTCGGGTACTGATTCTTGGATGTCGTACATTTTCCTTCGAGTTCTTTACCCAAGAAATCGATCTCCCATTTGAGAATTCGTGCAAACGTCTGGACTTGATCAACATCAAGAGGCTCACCAGAATCAATTGCAGCAGCTACTTGGTCAGTAGCAGAGTCGACAATAGAACGCCTTCGATCGGAAACCCTCTGATAGATGTCATCAGACGTAGGTCTAGCATCAAGATGAGAAGTAGACAATGAAGAAGCGGCTGGTGTTGTAGCGGAAGGTGTCTGTACTGGCGAAATATCATCAAGCTGCTTCAATTTGCGTTGAAGCTTAGAACGAGTCTTGTATTGTTCTGATAGGTGACCATTGTAAAAAGCGTAAGAGTGTTGTTTCATCAACATGACAATTCCATGGAGGACAAAAAAGACCTACCCGAAGGGATGTTGTAAGCGAATGAATCAGGGGAAAGAACAGAGAACATCATTTCTCCGAAGTAGTACTCCGATCAGTTCTAGAAAGTGATTGTATTTAATTAGAAATTAGCCACTTACTGTGTGTGTCCATGGCCACTCTCGAAACAGTGTCCAACTTACTACTGATGAGAGATATAATATTTCCCAAGCCTGCATATTACATTTAGTAAATTATTCCTATCTCCATATTAATTGAAATAGACTCACACTCTGAATGATCCAGCCTTCTCTATTCCAGTCAATGTTTCCTCGGTATATTAATTTCTGTAAAACAAGTCCAAAACCCGTAGAGAAACACATCACACCATCAGAAAGACCTAGAATTATGACGTCTCGGTGGAACATCATTTCCATAATTTCATTGGTACCAAGTATGTTTCCATGCACTCGCCAATTCGCAAAAGCAAGTTGGAGTACGAAAACGACGAACGCAAGCCAGCCCAATGTAAAGAAGCCATGGAAAGGAGAGTCGGCAACGATATTGTTATGTCGATCGAAGGCAGTAAATTTCTTGGTAAAAACCACTGTTTGAGTCAATTAGCAACGAACCATGCTAAAAGTTTCCTATTTACTACATCCATTTAAAATCACTTGATGACCTTTCATTCTTTTAATATATTCAGAGTTTGAAAAAACTCACAGTCACTGAATTTTGTCCGTTTCTTTGATTCTCCTGATGCGATATCTTGTGCATAGTGCGCGACAGTGCCCTTTAGAAGATCCCGTAACTCATTGTCATCCGCCTCAAAAGTATAAATTCCTTGCCCATTTTTCTGAAGCTTGTTAAGAGTCACCGGAATACTTTTGCGCCTTCTCGCGCCTTGCCGTGATTGCTGGGACTGAACCTTTAATTCTGCATATACCGTCTGTGATATTTCCGGCATATCAATATCAGTGTCGAGGATTCCACCTTTTCCTCTTGTAATTATGGACGTCGGATCTGGTTTTAAAGTATCATAATCCTCCAAACTATCACTCTCCGATACCGAAGACTCTCGCCGATTTCTATCAACTGTTTCCAACGCCTTTTTCAGAGATTGCGAATATTTTGGGCGACTAGGAGACTTGGGTGTTTGTATTTGTTTGGAGTTGCCAACGCCATTTTCCCTCGAATGCTTATCTAACGGAGTTTGAGTTGAGTGTGCTGGATTTGAGAGAGAGGACATCGTCATGGGAGGGGGGGCAGTCGTGGATGCCATTCTAACCATCTTATCAAGCTATATTGAGAGAAGGCGTGTTCCAGAACAAGAGAAGGTTATTGAAATTTAGATTCGGAGATCTAGTTTGTCTCAAGAGGCGCAAGAGAGAGGATTAACTAGTAGAGTGTTAGTCTACAACTTCTTACGAACTTCCTGCGAACTTTCTTCGGTGGGGTATCAAACTCTCTCAGTGTCCCAGAATAAGAGAAATTATGACAGCGAACCTGTATCAAGACTGTTCCCAAATGATTGCTTATTAGCCGTACCTCAATGACTAGTATAAACCATGCTTCAACCTCAATGGTTTGTCGATAACCTAGAAGCAGACAATACTGTAGCCGGGCGATACTTTGACGTTTCAAAGTATACCTAGGTATTGCTATTCGGTACCCGAGTAGATTAATCCAAATGGCTCAACTTGCTATGTTGCCCGAAGAAGGAAGTGTATTGAGGCTGAATAGGTAAATGCCGGTGCTATGCAGGATGCAGGTACAAGATTAGAAGATTGATAGAAATTCAATGGAAGACGATAATATGATTGTCAAAAGAAAATCGAAAAATAAATATCTTTATGATATCTATACCTTTGAAACAAGAGCTTGGTAATGATAAGATGCCGACTGGATACACAATTCAAGAAAAAACCACGATAGAGATGGAAAACCCGGAAAGGTAAAGGAATAACGGAAGTAGTATGTATCTCGCGCGCACATTAACATTTCCTTAAGTCTCCGAACCGTATGACTGATGATTAAGTCTTAATCTTTCTTACCTGAGACCTCTTTACTGTGGTGAGTCTGTGATGTACTTACTGTAGGGAATTGAGGGGCATGATGAAGCTTGGCATATGGCATATGGCATATGGATATCGCACATCGCGCATCGCACATCGCCAGAAGAAAGGCCGAGAAACTTTGTTAGATTCATGAATATAATAATTGTCATAGTTCTCTTCTTCTCCTTTCATTGTGAGCTTGAGTCATATCACAGGAAAGTCACTTTGGTCCGTACATGGAAAGAGATCAGATCGGCGACTTGTCAAGTGATGAGTGTGTGATGTTCAATTAGGGATTAGAATGATGAAAGAAGAAAGGTTCGAATGATTTAGGAATCTTCGGAAGTGGAAATTGTAATTTAAGGCCTAGCTGCATCATGTGGAGTACCTGGTAGTACCTGGTAGTAATATTAAGTATAAAATGACAATCTAGGCATCTGACGGTACTTATTATTATAACCCAGTACCTAGGGGTCCTCGGCGTCATTATTATTGATTGGAACCTTCGTAAACTTACGAATGGCTTATGTAATGCGAAAATTGATAAAAATGACGTAAATTCGCGGAGTCTTTTGGTGCCGCCGTCCGAGCCATATTCCGTTCCCAGTGTGCCATTACCCATTACCCATTACCCATTACCCATTACCCATTACCCCTTCAGCCCTGTCTAGATCCCCTTGAATCTAAGAGCTAGGTATCTATCTACTAGTTGGTATGTACGCATCGTCATATAGGTACACATCGCATCACAACTACCGGCAGTAACGGAAAATAATTTCTAATCATTGTAGGCATGCAAACTTAGAATATCCACGGCAGTCCCAGTCTACTAATGTGTAGAATACAAATCCAACGCTTTTTTCCTCTTCTAAATTTACATCAAATAACCCATCAGGCAGATCAAGGCAAGTTCGCCGATAACAGATCGGTGAGAAGAACATTGCCAGTGTTTCTTGCCAAATCGCTTGCCAATTGTCCCTGAGCGTCCCGAAGATTCCGGATATCTTCTCCATCAGCAGTATCACGTCCTACACCCATCGTCTCTGCCATTTGAGTGATTTGTTCCGGGAAGAAATCGGTTGGAAGCGTTGAAGCGAGCCATAACAACAGCCAGATGATTTCTTCCTGTCCTTTTTCAACAGCCACATGCAAACCACTTTTCATCTCATCCAAAGGATCTTGATAACGCAGAATTGGCTTTGCTGATAGCCCTTCTCCATCCTCGTCATCATCTACTGCGCTGAGTAGATCATTAATTCCAAAAACATCACCCTCGGCACACATCGTCATGAATGCTCGAGCGGGACGTGCTTCTGGGTGTTCATCGAGATAGGCTTCTTCAGTGATGAGAGGTAAGATGTCAAGGTCTTCTTGAACTCCTCCCTCGTTGTGATATCTTGTAGGAACTCGGGTTCCGGAGACTGATCTTGAAGCTGAAGCCACTGAAGTTGCAATTGAATTATCACACGATGGGCAATGGAGCTTATTCAAAATTTGAGGAGATTCATCCAAAAGACATTGCCTGTGTTGGAGTTAGTAAGTCAACTGATAAAGTCGGTAGATCAATGGCAAAATTCCTATGCTCGAATAATGAAGCATAGAACGGCACGTGAAAAATAAGAGTTATCTCTGTGATCAAAGGCGAATCCGTTGGGCAGATGCCATCATGACAAACGCTAGAGAGCGGTGTCCCTTGAGAGATACTTTCTTGTGTGTGGCTTGAATGATCATGGTATGAATGCGTCCGATGAGAGATGTACGATATACCTCTCGAAGAACTATCTTCGGGCCAACTTTCATGCAACGAATATGTTCCATATGTACATCCGGTTCAGAAGCTTCAAGTCCCAGGTATCATAAAAGGAAATAGAAATAAGTTTGAACTTTCAGACCGAGAACAAGTCAAATATATTCTTACCAATGCATATGACATCCGCAAACCAACTGAAGGTCATCTGGAACGCTTCCCATAGAAGAGCTTCCACCTTCAAATTGCTCCAACTCCTCTGGGTCGAGTTGGACAGTCAAACTTTCCGAGCAGAGTTTACAGGTATCCATCGTTGTATAAAATATTAAAGAAAGGCAAACAATTTAGTATTGATTTATTAAAAAGTTTGCTATGTGGTGGTGTTTTGAAATATTTTGAAATAAAAATTCTCATGTAGAATCGTTGAAGGTCTTTACTTTAATAGCGGGGAGCAAAAAAAAAGTCATAATCTAAAATTTTCTTATCGTCTGAACGTTTCTATTCAATTTTGTAGTCTTCTTCTAAATTATCCGGAACACCACGCAAAGTCATGTAATGAGCGGGCATTCAAATCTAGATATGTAAGAGGACCAGTCCTATTTTCGCCATTCGAATGAGACCGAACATGCATAGAGTTTGTATCTCATGCCAGCCTCCAACAAGATGGCGGTATCGATGATTTATCCCTATCTATCTCTATCTATGCTCTCCAGTTACCATTCGCATTCCCTACCACTTCCGTTGGCTACCCATCTGTCCACCCTTCCTTACTTGGTTTGTATATATTTTGTGTGTGATGCCGTCGCTACCATGGGTCCTGGCTGGCCATCGACTAGCTTACTGATTCTAATCGTGGTAAAAGCAAGTGATCGTCCAACTTTCGACGCTGTGGCCTCAATATTCAAGACATCCCCTAATTGAGCAGTCCCAATATAAGTGACGTGAATATCAATGCTTGCCCCAGACTTCTCCAATCCATGTGAAGCAATGGCAAGACCTCCAGACCAATCGACCAAACTTGCACTCACTGCACCGTGAATAGTACCTCGAGAATTGACATGATTGTTTTCAACCGTCAAACGCGAGACAACCAGACCTTTTGTAGCCGATATGATTTCAACATTTGCGAGAAGAAAGTCGTAGATGGGACTGTTGCCTTTCATGTTATCCCATACTTTCTTGACGTGGATCAATTCTTCCGTTGGGTTATCCATGGCGACGGAACTCATTGTGTATAATCAGTTGCCTGAAATGCGGCGAAGGGGTCGTCGTCAGCAATGGCGAAAATGTACGTATACGCGTATTACAAAGGTCTTGGGATATAGGATATAGGATATAGTAGATCCATATTTACCTGTTTTAAAAGCCCAAGGTTATAAAATGGAAATGTGCAGCAATGGCTTAACTTGAGAATATCAAGGAAATCAAAAGAACCTTGAGCGAGACAGAACGACAGAACGGACAAAACGGACGGTGATCAATTACCAGCCAGATATCCCGAAATTGGAAGACAGATACGAGAGACCGGCCGGTTGTACGAAATTGCGAGTGCGAGACAACCGCTGCCCAGAAACGTCAGCGGGGTTTGGGCTGTGCATCGCATCATATCAATTTCACATATTGATATGCATTGAGCCATAATTTGAACTCAAAATTCCTCCATAAACCCTTGAAAGAATCCAACATTTTACTTCTTCTCCCTCTTCTTCCTCTACAACCCAATTCCGTCAAAGAAACAATTGTTGTCTTGCTACGATTCACAATTGTTACGTGTTTTGCAGCATCTTGCGCCGGCATCAGTATTCATAGTGACATAAATTGGGAGGGGTATCCACACCACAGCTACCTAATACCGATAGGTACCTCAACCTGCCTCCTGAATTACGCAACCAACAATTCAAGTCTTTTCGACTGCGAAAGTCAAGACCAGAATAACAATCCGCAAAGATGAATATCATTAAGTTGCAGAGGTATGTACAGAATCCAATAGAGCTATTAATTAGTTCGAGGCGGCGTTCGTCTAACCTGCTTTGATTCATAGGAAGTATCCTCAATTCCAACAAGATGAGATCTTCGGTCTCCAAGATGCTTTCCGTAAACTCGACGTTGACGATAAGGGATACATTGACGAGGCTACTGCAATTAAAGCTACACAAGGCAGTGAAAGACAACCATACGATGTTGTTAGACAAGCTTTGAAAGAGGTCGAGCTTGATTCATCTCGAAGAGTCGAGCTGGAAGATTATGTAGGAGTAAGTTCAGGCAAACACTTATCTGGCACACATTGAAGAATGTCGACTAATCATACCTAAGCTTATCTCAAAACTCCGCGTCTCTTCACCAGCACAACAGCGCATGTCAACTGGTCCACAGAGTCCTGCTCGTGGAGGAATTGTATCGCAACAAACCGGAGGAGCTGGAAGCGGGCATGCTTCAAAGGGAAGCGTCAGCGGTCGTATTCAAGTCCAGGGATCTTCATCGAACGTTACCCATACCATCAACGAAGATGAGCGAACAGAATTTACCCGTCATATCAACGCAGTGTTGGCAGGCGACGCAGATATTGGCTCGCGTCTACCATTTCCTACAGATACCTTTGAGATGTTTGACGAGTGCAAGGATGGTCTCGTATTAGCCAAATTGATCAACGACAGTGTGCCGGATACTATTGATGAGCGTGTACTGAATCGTCCCGGAAAGAAGATCAAGACCCTTAACGCATTCCATATGACTGAGAACAACAACATTGTTATTGAATCTGCGAAGGGTATTGGTTGCTCGGTGGTCAACATTGGTAGTGGAGATATTATTGAAGTTCGGGAACATTTGATTTTGGGTCTGATTTGGCAGGTTATTAGAAGAGGTCTGTTGAACAAGATTGATATCAAGCTTCATCCTGAGTTGTATAGACTCTTGGAAGACGACGAGACACTGGAACAATTTTTGAGATTGCCTCCCGAGCAAATCTTACTCAGATGGGTCAATTATCATTTGAAGGCTGCAAATTGGCCACGAAGGTAAGATTAATCTCAAGGGTATCTAGAGCTTACTAACATTCTATTAGAGTTGCGAACTTTTCTAGCGATGTAAAGGATGCTGAAAATTACACTGTTCTTCTATCCCAGATTGCGCCGGAGTGTTGCGACCGAGCACCATTACAGACACGCGATCTTCATCAAAGAGCAGAGCAAGTTTTACAGAACGCCGATAAGTTAGACTGCCGGAAGTTCCTTACACCTAGCTCCCTTGTAGCAGGAAACCCTAAGTTGAACTTGGCTTTCGTTGCCAATCTCTTCAATACCCGTCCAGCACTGGATCCTATCACCGAGGAAGAAAAGGCCCAGGTTGATGATTTCGATGCTGAGGGTGAGAGAGAAGCGAGAGTCTTCACTCTCTGGCTGAACAGTCTTGATGTACAACCAGGAGTAAACTCGTTATACGAAGATCTCAAGGATGGTACCATTATTTTGCAGGCATACGACAAGGTTATCAAGGGCTCTGTTAACTGGCGTCATGTGAACAAGGTGCCTGCTAGTGGAGAGATGTCGAGATTCAAGGCTCTAGAAAACACAAACTACGCTATTGAGCTCGGAAAGCAAAACCGTTTCTCTCTGGTCGGTGTTCAAGGAGCAGATATTTACGATGGTCAACGAACTCTCACTCTTGGTCTTGTCTGGCAATTGATGCGCAGAGATATCTCCGAAACCCTCACAGCTCTCGCTCAACGTCTTGGCAAGCGCGAAATTTCAGATGCAGAAATGATCAAGTGGGCAAACAACATGTCACAGAAGGGTGGAAAGAGTTCTACTATCCGCTCTTTCAAGGATCAATCAATTGGAACTGGTGTCTTCCTCCTCGATGTTTTGAACGGAATGAAGAGCAGTTATGTTGATTACGATCTCGTGACGCCAGGAGGAACCGAGGATGATGCTTATATGAACGCCAAGTTGAGTATCAGTATTGCGAGAAAGATGGGAGCGACAATTTGGTTGGTTCCGGAGGATATTTGTCAAGTTAGAAGTCGCTTGGTGGTTACTTTTATTGGTATGTTTGTTTTTGTCTTTCTTTCTTTCTCTCTTTCCCCTGTAGATCGATCTTGTGGAAGTGAGAGTTCTAACTTTTTCCTTTAGGTTCTTTGATGGCGACAGCAGAGAAGATGCAGTAAACTGGTTGATGAGATGGGATGAGATGGGATGGCGGAATTCCTAATCGATGGATGGACGGATGGATGGATGGATGGATGATGAGAAATTACGATAGCGATGCTAGTGATGATAGTTAGTAAAAAGTGCGTGCAGGCGAATCAATGGCTGTAGGACATTAGAAAAGCATTGGTAGTTATTTTCATTTCACGAGAGAGAAAGAGAAAAGGGCGGGTTCTTGATGATTCGATTTGATTATGAGAAAGCGCATTTTTCATGAAAATATCACAGCTGCATTAAATATTAAACTCCATGCTGTATGGCACTCGCTCACTCACTTGCTCACTTTATCAAATGCGGTAGGTATCTAGGTATACTTATTTTGTTGAAGATTAGATAACATTGTAAAGTGATAGATAAAATGCCATAAATTTCCCCCTCCCCCTCCCCCTCCCCCTCTCATAAAAAAAAAGAAAAAAAAAATCAAGCCTGCAAAGCCATCTCCTCCCTACTCGCATAACTCCCCCCCTTCCACGCCGCCTTCGGATCGCTCCTCTGATCAACCTCCCTCTCCTCGCCTACCTTTCCCCATCCCCCTCCTCCAGGGGTATGAATAATAATGCGCTCTCCAGCTTTCATTGCCGCGGTATTTTTACCCCCGAGATTGATGCGGCGTTCTTCGTATGGTGTTTCTTGGGTTTCTTTTTCTTTTTCTTTTCCATTTTCACAATTCTCCAGAGACCCAAACCCAGGCTCCCGCAACAATAAATCCGATCTCCCCCTATCGCTCTTCGCCACCTTCCGCACCCAGATATTCAACCCGCATTGTGCGTCTGCGCCGCCCTCGAGCCCATACGGTCTGTAGACTCTTCTTTCACTTAGGATGGACACCTGGACGGGGATTCGAAACTCGATGTCGCGGATGACTCCATCCCCGCCCCTGTATTTTCCCTCTCCTCCACTTCCCGCGCGGAGAGAAAATTCTCTCAACAGGACGGGATAGCGACGTTCGAAGACTTCCGCATCTGTGATTCGCGTATTCGTCATGTGCGTGTGCACACCACTTGTTCCGTCCCAGTGTTTTCCCGCACCGCTTCCACCGGCGATGGTTTCGTAGTATCCGAATCCCTTGACGTGTTTCTGGCCGTCGACGTTGCCGCCGAAGCCAA